GCCACAGAAAATTTCTTAATAAAGTTGAGCTAATAAGAGACATAGTGGGTTCTGATACCTATTATGAAGAATATACTTTCTTTATCTTGGGGTGGGCTATGTGAGAGACAAACTCTAGGGTGGAGATAAGCATGTAAGAAGTTTACAGGAGGGTTCCTTCAGGATCAACATCTATGAGGGAATAAAGGAAGTAAAAATGGACAGAGGGAGAAATTGAAATGGATGTAATCACTACAAGGGCCTCAGCTGGTGACTCAACCAGCCCTTTATGCTGAGGAGCAGCATGACCTGAGGGCTGTTCCTGGGGAGATTTGCTGAAGCCTGTGGCTGGGAGTGGTAGCAGCTGCTGGAAGAGTGAGTGCCTCAGGTCTGAACCAGGGAGCTGCCATGCCACTTGTTCCTTCTTTCTTTGTATAGTAAGTTCTAGAAACTGCTTCTCCCAGATTTTTGTTGTCTTTTCCTAGAGCAACTTCTGAGAAGTTTAATGAGGTAAACTACAGCCTCCATTTTTGCTGCTGGTCTTGAGGCCACAGTTGATGCTCATCTCTCTGCTCTACTACTCATTCTGGATTTACCTCACCCTTGGCTAGTACCTCTGCTGGTCTGAGAGCCCTTACTTGGTAAAATCACCTGACCTTTCATTCCTTAGGTTCATTGCAAGTCAGGGTTGGAGGTGGGATTCCACATAGTCACTCAGAGACCAAAGCTAAATGAGGCTCCATCATCTAGATGGTTCCTGGTCACTTTGTCAGGGGAGGAGAAAGCTTGATGACTGGCTCTTCTGAGCTTCGGCCTGGAAGGGACACACATCACTTCTGCTTGGAGTCCATTGGCAGAGCTAGCCAGCCATAGGACTTATGTAATTGTAGAGGAGCTGAGAAATGTCAGAACAGACTTCAGAATGGTGGTGAGCACCAGTCTGTGCCACAGTCTGCCCTCTGGCTGTCAACATTACTTTGCTACCTTTATTCCATACCTCCTTAAAGGAGATAGCCCAAAGTCCTATTTCATCAAGGCATTTAACTCCAAGTAATGTGGACAGTAAATGTCCATGTCAAATTCAGACATTGCTCCTTTTGGTCTAGGAATTAGGAACTGGAATGACCAAATTATCTGTCTACCCCCATTACATCCCCCTCAAATACCTTAGATAGAGTGGCTAAAAGGGCCAGAGTTACCACAATAAACAGTTTCCATTTGGAAAACTGAAAAATATAGTTGTTGGTTAGCTGTGATTGAATTTCTACTGGGCAGATATTGTGCGTGTCCCTTGCCCTGCAGGTAGGTGGGGAATATTCCTCCATTAGGCCCTGACTCTGATCTCTGTAATATCTGTCCTGTGTTCTCTGTGATAGCTGGCTCCACCCCGTGGGAGAGTCTTCGTTTTCTGTTATCCTCCTTGAATATATCTGAAGTGGCTATTGAAGAAATATATTCTCCTTGAGGGCTCTTCACCTTTCTCAGCCTGCTTACCACCTGTAAAAGATTGGGGCCCAAGGATCTTTCTAAAGTAGTTGTTTTCAACTGCACCACTATTGACATTTTGGACCAAATAATTCTTTTCAGGGTCTGTCCTGTTCATTGTAGGGTGTTAAGCAGCATTCCTGGCCTCTGCCCACTAGATGCCAGTAGTACTCCTCAGTTGGGATAACTGAAAATATCTCTTTGACATTGCCAAATATTCCCTGGGGGCAAAGATGCTGTGAATTGAAAACCACTGTTTTTAAGTACAGAATGGTCATAGATCTAAGAGTTATCTAGCTCTCTCAGAAACTTAAATGGTTTCTTATCATTTTGATTATAATTCTTTTCAAAGCATCTTTGTTAATTCACAGGTCCTATATTCTTGACTTAACTGAGGCTGTCTTGAGTCTATCTTTAAGCTTTCTGGCTTCTATTGGCAGACTGAGACAATTTCATCAATTGATTCTATAGCTATTTTTTCCTTAAAGACTTTCAAAATTGTTATGTGAAAATGATGCATAAAAACCAACTCAAGATATCAGTGGCTTAAAACAACATTTATTGTTTGCTCATGGCTCTGCACCGTTGGCTATGTGGCACTGCTCCAGATCATGGGTCAGGTTCAGGCTTGTTTCATGTTTGGTTTCAGCATTCAAGCTGAAAGAGTACTTCCCAGACACATCCTTTTCTCATGGCACAAGGTAGATGAGTGAAAGCCATGCTAAATCAAGCACATTCCCCCACATGCATTAGCTGAAATAAGTCACGTGACTGAGCTGATCAACAGGGTGAGGACACCTTCTGGGGTGGGCAGGGATATTTGCTGACCACTCTGCCATACCTTTTCGGAGAGATCTAGTTGCATTTAGCTTTTCCAAAATGGAAAGGCCCTAAAATTCTAGACTCTGTTTCCATTTATTTCTACTTTTAAAGGTTGCCAATTCTTTCAAATGCAGCTAATAGCCACCAACATAACCTATTTAAGATTTGCCTTCCAGTCTCTTTTTCTGGAGTAGGGGTCAGCAAACTTTTTCTGTAAAAGCCATGTAGTAAATGTTTTAGGCTTTGCAGACAATAGTCTTTGTCATAGCTACTAGACTCTGCCATTGTAACACAAACACAGTTGTGGACAGTATGTAATTGAATTGTGAGTGTCACTGTGTTCCAATAAAACTTTCTTTACCGAAGCAGGCAAGCCTTAATTACCAACCCTGTCCTAGAGTGTCAGGTTCATTATGCAAGTGCTGTGCAGGTGCCAGATTCATGAAATGTTTTGCTACTATATAACCTAGATCACCTTTCCAACCTTTGATGTTAGTTTTCCCTGCTGCTTAACTGCTAAGTCATGATCTTGTGTTTTTAGAGTAGTAACATCCCGTTCCTGGCACCAGTTTCAGTGTTAGTCAGAATAGACTCATCTATGCTGAGGTAACAAATAAACCTTGAACTCTCAGTGGCTTAACATGACTAGGGTTTATTTCCCATACTGGATGTCTGGCACAGGTCATGGTGAGGGTGGGGACTCTGCTCTATATAGATGCTCAACAACCCAGGCTGCCAGATGGCCTGCTGTGTGGGACATTCCTAATCACCAAAGCAGGGGAAGAGACCATTAACTAGAACTACTCCCGTGACCTTGCCTGGCTGAGGAGTCTGGGAAAATCTGAAGAAGAAAAATGGAATATGTTGGGTTAGTTCCACTGCCTCTGCCACAAATCCATATAAATTCCAAATTATTCTTCTTGTAGTTAGCAGTATAACTAACATTTGTAGAAAGGTGCATACTGATATACAAAGATGGATTTCATTTAATATTCCTGGAGTCATTTTTTTTTGACAATTTGTTTTCCTTAACAAAACATATCTTTTTCTAAAATATAATTGTGTTTTGCTCTTAATAGTTCCAAAATAAAGTATTTAAGGTTGCAATTTTACTTCTAGACTAGAATGCACTGGTATAAAGTTCCAGTAGTGTTCAACCATCACAATAGACATTAAAGTAATAATATTTATTTTAATATTTAATATTTATTCAAAGGTTGTAATATTCTTTTACAGGCAGTGTTACTTTGCTGAGATACTGTATTTTAGAAATATTAGCAGCATTAGTTTACAGAATAGCAGTAATGAAATTTTTATCTTATGTTTCACTAAGTCCATTGATATGTTGGTATATTTAATTTCATAAAGCCATTAGATTATGTATCTTCCCATTTTTTTTTTTGAGACAGAATCTCACTCTGTCGCCAGGGCTAAAGTGCAGTGGCATCATCATAGCTCACTGTAACCTCAAACTCCTAGGCTCAAGGGATTCTCTTGCCTTAGCCTCCAGAGTAGCTGGGATTACAGACATTATAGCACTACACCCAGTTAACTTTTCTATTTTTTGTAGAGACAGTGATCTTTTTCTTGCTCAGGCTGGTCTTAAACTCCTGGCCTCAAGCGATCCTCACACGTCAGTTTCCCAGAGTGCTAGTACAGTCATGAGCTACTGCGCCCAGCCTAGATTACATATTTACTAAACCCACCCATGATTACCTATCAAAATATGTTAAAGACAACATACATGCTGATCTGAATGTAGACATTATAAAAGTAATCTTTGTCTTTCTAGTCATCTTTTTTCCCCCCTTTTGTATTAACTACTGGTGTTTGATATATGTACTGCACATCAGTACAGGTAATGCATTGTATTTGTGTTGTGAAAAATTGCTTTCTTTCTTCTTTGGTCCTTCCATTTACAGTAGGATTCATCAAAGGTAACAGACAAAGTATGTAAAATATGAAGCCATGAGTGTTCCTGCTGCTGCCTTTGTTTTAATGGGCATAGTATAGAATTCCTTAAGGTTTGAGGTCAGGTGAAAGTCTTTCACAAAAAATGATTTAATAATATCAACAGCTGGTAATTTTGTAGATTAGTGGCACCAGGTCAATGGTGTCCTACATCTACAGGCGGAAAAAAATGTATGAGCAAATTCGTGTGATTTCAGGTGGGATATCAGGAGTAGAAAAACTGATAACGACAGTTCTGGTCCTTTAGAACTGAATGTCTGCCCATCTGAAAGGTCAAATACCATTTGCTAGGATTGACAGAATGGCCCATTGTTGATCTGTAATATCTATATAAAACTATTAATAATTGTGATTTTAAAATCAGACTTTTAAAATACTGATAATTTATTCTGCAAATGAATGCTAATTTATGGCTCTTTCTTTTACTGTAATAGTTCTTATGTGAGCTTTGAGATGCCTTTCCAAATCTCTTTTCTCTGTTTGACCAAAAATTTCCAGCTGATCATAATTTCTAGCAAGTAAAACACTACTAACTTTTCTAATAACTTTGTATTCATAAACAAAAAATGCCATAAAGCTTATTCCTCAGGTTTGCCTTTTTATCATGCATCTGTGCAGTGATTATAGTGAGAAAAGTATACAGTTAACATGAATTTTTTGAAAATGATAGGATAACTTATTTGTGAACTCCAAAATCTTTGTACATAGCATAGCAGTCATTTTTTTGTTTTTATTTTCTGAAGGACTTAAAGCCCAGTAATATAGTAGTAAAATCAGACTGCACTTTGAAGATTCTTGACTTTGGTCTGGCCAGGACTGCAGGAACAAGCTTTATGATGACGCCTTACGTAGTGACTCGCTACTACAGAGCGCCCGAGGTCATCCTAGGCATGGGCTACAAGGAAAACGGTCAGCATACACTATTTGTTTGAAATACTCTTCTGATTTAATTTCTTTTGTTCATCAGATTCTTTATGTAAATACTTAAGCTAAAATGCATTGAGTTAAATATGTTTTAGTGTTTGAAATGTATATCAAGAGTTTGAAAGTAACTATAAATTTTGTCATAAATATTTGCAAAAACTTGGGGGCCCTGTTTATTTAAATACAAATACATAACATCAGTACTACCATTGGATAAAGAATTCATTGCCATGACCTCTTAATCAGAATATATGCCCTTTGCTTGCCTTTAACTTGAAAATGAGCATTTCTTACATGGATGCAGGAAAGTATATAGTGTACTGCCAGGTTATTCTTAGTAGTAATCTTAGCATGCATTAGTGATAATTGCCTATATTTCTAATTTCATGAAACTAAAGTTAATAGCAATATCACTTAGTGTAAACTTTAAGAGCTACAATAGGGCCTTCTGCAAAGCTCATGGATAATTAATGGGACCTCTTGGAGAAAGCAGTAATATTTCATCAAAGCCTTGTGTCTAGCCTTAAGGAAATGGCATTTAGTATTAAGTGTGGCTATATGCGGTTGTATTTATCACCCTTATAATCAGGGTTAAAAAAATTAGATCATGAATTTATACAATTTTTATGCATATATATATATACTTATATTTAATTTGTAAGACATTTTGTTGAGTCTCAGAAATTTAGGAGATAAGTCTGCTGGGATTTTATGGAATTAAACTGTAATTTTTTAAATGTAGTAACTTCATCCAAAATACTACCTAGAATAAGACTTAAGACATTTTTCTGGCAAGGAATCTGGAACAGCAGTTCACTTTGAATTAGGAAATTGTATTAAGTCAACCTTTAAGATTTGGTTATAAAAGAAACCATTGAACTGAAGATTTGAGCTTAATTAACTTTTCTGAGCTAATTAAAAACAAATACTTTAGAGATATACTATCGATCTTTTATTCTTAAGTAAATATACTGCTCTGTTTTCTTTCTCTCTAAAATTTGAAGGTTTGTATTTTTTGTTTGTTTTTGAGAATTGAAATACTTTAAGTGACCACCAGCATACCTTTGCCGTGAAAGGTAGCAGTTGTCACAGATACTGTGTAATGTGTCAGTGATCTTGGGATAGCTCCCTACCAGAAGTTAGCACTAAGAAAAACTATCATGTAAAGAATAGAATTGACATGCATTTCTCTCTTAGATAAGAATTGTATAGATCACCATATTGCCTTCCCAGTCCCAGGAAACTGCATCAGATGTAATGCTTAATCGTGATAATTACTTTAGCCAACAAGGTTAAGCACTAATTAATTATTTCCTCCTTTTAGTGACACCCTCCACAATTTTAACAACTTTGTTTTATCTATCTTTTATTGCAAGCTACCTGAAAGCATTTTGGAAAATACAGTGTAATCAATATATTATTTTCAACTACCTAGTAGACTAAGCAGTTAAGACTCTTTAAAGCTAATTTTGTGTATGAACCAGGTTTAACATGGTCTTGGTCTTCACTGACCCAGTTAATATCTTCTCTCATGCTTGCAGTTCTCAAAATGTTTTTGTTTAAAAATATGGTTATCTAAAGGTTACCAACATAAGTTGTATCTTAGATATTTAAAATTTGCCATTCTCTATAAAATCTATATGGAAGATTTATTCTAATAGATTTGGGTCAAAAATGAAAACCTTGGAAAATTTTTTCTCTGATGGACTGATTATGCATATTAACTTTTGCTCTAAAATTTTGTCTTTTTTTTTTTTTTCTGAGACAGGGTCTTGCTCTGTCACCTAGGCTAGAGTGCAGTGGCATCATCATAGCTCACTGCAACCTCAAACTTCTGGGTTCAAGCAATCCTCCTGCCTCAGCCTCCTAAGTAGCTGGGGACAGATAATTTTTTGTAAAGAATAGGGGTCTTGGTGTTGCTCAGGCTAGTTTTGAACTCCTGGCCTCAAGCAATCCTCCCACCTTTGCCTCTCAAAGTGCTAGGATTACAGGTGTGAGCCACTGTGCTCTGCCTAAAATTTTACCCTTGAAAGTTGAATAATGACATACATATAAAAAGATTTATATTCATTTTAATATGACTTCTAGGGAAAATTTAGTTCTACAAAATTTCTAAAAGTAGTTACCAGTTTAATATTCTCAGACCTCAGTGAACTGGCAGTCTCCTTGTAAGAATGTCCTGTATTATAGAAAGTACAGACTTTAATTTCCTAAGGGCTAGAAAAGGGTACAGGGTGAATCTACTCCTGCACTTTTCGTCTTCTGATCTTAAAGAATTTGGGCCTTCTAATTCAAAATCAAATGCAAGTTTCTAAGGCCTTTCATTTTAAATGGCTCATCCTTCCCCTCTTTTTCTATTGAACTGCAAGCACTGCTCACATGAGCTCGCGCTCGTGCTCTCTCTCTCTCTCTCTCTCTCTCTCTCTCCCTCTCTCTCTCTCTCTCAAACCTGAACATACAAAATGTTAGGATGTGTTGTTAATTTTATTAAGCAGGTGAAGATCCCCAAATTGATTGCTCCTGTGTCTAGTAGATTCTTTTTACCCTTGATAAGGGGGTCCCATTTAATATTGGAAAGGATCAGTAAGTCTGCTAGGAAACTCCTTATAGATAATAAATTTGTGGGAACTTTCATGGTGTATCCAGCCAAATCTAACTTCTTAAACCCAAAGCTAGTTTAGTTTTATCGGTTTAAAAAAACTTTAGGTAGGAAACATGAAATGCACTTCTCTTACTAGGATTTCTTGGTTAGTTGATGAGTTAATTAGTGGTTATTCTTGTTCTTGTTAATTAGTGGTTGCACTTGTTCTTTTTGGGATACTAGGGTTAATGTAGCATGATGTTGCCAAGAAAATAATTGACTTTTAATTAAGAATAAACAGAGTACTTCTCAAATTTATTTGTGATATCTAGTTTGAACGTTTCTGGGGAGCTTTACATTAACTTTTATTGTAATTATTCATAGAGACATTTCTGTTAAGTATTTTAATATGCAAAATTATTTTCTCATGCTTTTTTATTTAACTTAAAGAAAGAGTATAATGCACAGTTGAACCTCAAAATAATATAAAGAGCTTATTTTTGTAATTTTACTACCTCATATACATTTTTAGCCTTATTTACAAAGTTGGTGTTTGGTTATATTTCATATTTCATAAACAAATTCTCAAGTACAAAATGGTACAGCTTTTTTAATTTATGCAATTTCTGTGCATAGCTCTCACTTTAAAATTAGATATGTAGTTAAAATGCCACACTTTACATTTTCTTTTGTGAACCAAAGCTTTTTGAAAAATATTTTGTGTTTTAAATTATTCCATTAGCTAAAATTACAATCACTTTTTTCTTTTTGTGATGTTTTGCAGTTTTTATATAATGCAGTCATATTATGCTTCTTTGATTTTAATGACCTTTTGCTTTGCTTTTCCTTCTTTTGTGCTGCAAACATATAGTGGATTTATGGTCTGTGGGGTGCATTATGGGAGAAATGGTTTGCCACAAAATCCTCTTTCCAGGAAGGGACTGTATCCTTGTGCTGCTGCAGCAGTTTAATTAGTTAGGTGATGAATTTCTTTATGTTCTTTAATGAAAATGAATATGCTACATTCATACATATGGGTTTTTTAAACAGGTATAAAGTTTGTGGCTGTTATAGTTCAAAAATTGTTCAGATAGGAAGCTGGAATATTTGTAGGCTGCATCTGGCAGTAGGACATACAGTCTCTGCTGGTAGTCAGAGCACATTCACTGTCATTCATTTTTATTTTATACTGCTTTTTATAATTTTAAAGTATACATGGTGTGCGTGATTTTTTTTAATTTTTTTTTTTATTTTAACCAAAATCTTTATGTTAATGTCATTGCATTTTGTTTTCAGTTGACATTTGGTCAGTTGGGTGCATCATGGGAGAAATGATCAAAGGTGGTGTTTTGTTCCCAGGTACAGATCGTATCCTTATCTTTGGCCTAAAATGTAGTTTCTAAAGGTCAAAATGTATGACAGCACTTCAGCTTGGTGAGGTATAATATATATTGTCTCTCCCTAATATTAAGTATTATTAAATTACTCTTTCAAAATACCACCTGCTATTTGACATAGACTTTCCTTTCCCTCATTTATTGTTTCATATGTTAATTCTGCAAGCTGCTCAGTTGTAATTATGCACAATTCCTTGTTTGGCTTTGAGTTGATTTATTTAACCTAAATCAAACATCATGGCTTGTATTATTATAAAAATTTCTAATAATTACACACTTGAATAAGTCTAGAAATACTTAGGATTTAATATGAATTTTGGAATTGTCTGTTGCTTCTGGCCATCCTTTTGTTTTGTCTCACAACTTCTTTTTGTTAATGTTCTGTGTGGTTTGTGTCTTTTGATTGTTGTCTCATTACTCAGCATCTCATACTAATCCTTTGATCTGAGAATTTCAGCGGTGATAGTTTTATGTGGTGATGATTAGATTTGGATTTATGCTTTTTGTTCATCTGACTACTTTTAGTATTTATATTAACAGTGATCTGTTATGTGTTTATCAACTATTAACACTTATAATTGTTTTAGGAGGAATGGGAAAAGCCATATTCACTAGGCTACAAGAGTTTTAGGCCTTGGCTTCCAGGGGCCTTAAAGTATACAGACTAGGTGAAAGGAGACCAGGGAATCCTAACCTTAAAATTTATCAAAAAACTGGGGATGGGTGAGGGGCTGGATAATGAGAAATTACTTAGTGGGTACAATGTACATTATTTGGATGATGGATACACTAAAAGCCTAGACTTTACTACTACATAATATATCCATGTAACAAAATTGCACTTGTACCCTTTAAATTTATACAAATAAAAGAAAAAAAGAAAAAGTGAAAATTTTTCATAAGTTTCAGAGCTTAACAAATATTAGTATAAGCTAAACAAAAAATGGCAAAAGAAAAAGGCGCTTTTATTGAAGCCATCATTTTTATTGCTACTGGTTATTTTCTTTTAGTGTAGAAAACTAAAAAAAGCAGGACAGATTATAAAAATATTTCTTATTCTCTAGGAAATTCATGTTTCTGATAAGCTGGAAGACAAGACAAATGTTATATATTAGAATTGTATGTAGTTTGCATTAGATTCCCTATTGGTTAGTGATTATCATTATTCTTTAAGTCACTTACAATTTGTGTTTACAGTTTGTGAGTTTACGCTTCATCTTATGGTAAAATCAGCATTATTAGTACATACACACACACAATAAATAAGGTTAATAACGCTTATTTATTGATCATGTCTTTCCACCTATAATCATTGTCTTTTACAAGGTGGCTGTGAGATATAAAATTTATAACTGCCACATTCTTTCTTAGGATTTTTTAAATTTTCACTTTATCGTAATGTGGATATAACTGATGTGTTGAACATTAGATATGGAGTATTTTTCTTAGCTACTTGATATTAGATATTGATCAGTGGAATAAAGTTATTGAACAGCTCGGAACACCATGTCCTGAATTCATGAAGAAACTGCAACCAACAGTAAGGACTTATGTTGAAAACAGACCTAAATATGCTGGATATAGCTTTGAGAAACTCTTCCCCGATGTACTTTTCCCAGCTGACTCGGAACACAACAAACTTAAAGGTACTTTTTACAGATATATATTCATTTAATCATGTTTAGAGGTGTGTGTGTTGTATTTGTGTGTATGTATTCATATTCTTATGGAATGTCATGCAAAGCTATCTCTGGATAGTGGGACAAAATGAGGTTTTAGTTATTTTTATCTTTATATTTTTGAATCGTGTATGTGACCTAATTTTATAGTAAAAACTATTTTTTTGTCTTTCAATTAAAAATCATATGTTTTAAACTCAAGTTCTGAAATTTACTAAAAATTTGAAAATCTTTACAAATACATGTACATTAACGTCATTATTTTTGCAGCCAGCCAGGCAAGGGATTTGTTATCCAAAATGCTGGTAATAGATGCATCTAAAAGGATCTCTGTAGATGAAGCTCTCCAGCACCCATATATCAATGTCTGGTATGACCCTTCTGAAGCAGAAGCTGTAAGTTTTCCTAATGTTTGAAGAACATATTGCATTCTTAGAGTTAGAATTAACATTAGGTTTGGAGGAGACCTTTTGATTTTAAATAGAAATACAGATACATGGCGATGGTGTTTTTCTATTTTTGCATGAAAAGTACCTTAATTAAGCCAATGAATACATCCAGGCACCTCCTATAGAAAATAAAGTTAGTTTCCACTGTTTTTTGCCTTCTTGCCTGGATACCTGGTCAGAGGAGCTAGGATGTTGAATACTTAGGGGAACATTCTAACTCAGAGAACAAATTATTGTATGTAAAGGACAGTATAATTCTGATATAAATAAGTGTGACAATTTCAAAAGCTGGAAGAGAAGGAAAAGACAGTTAAACATCTTATTCCTGCAATGAAGGAGTCTTCCAAAACTAGTCTCTCTACATAAGAAGGTTGTTAATGATTGATCAGTTTTGGCCTAATGATTCATTTTTACAAGTCTTCTGTCTGGCTAATATTTCAAATAATCTTAGAGAGTTAAAATACTACCAGTATACTACAATTAAGGACCATGAATAAAAAATTAAAAAGAAAAAGAAAATAAATATAGTAATACCAGTATATTGACTCAATCACTCGTGTTTTTCAGCCACCACCAAAGATACCTGACAAGCAATTAGATGAAAGGGAGCACACAATAGAAGAATGGAAAGGTAATGTTCATTAGATTCTTAGAAAACTAAAGGAGCTTCTGGCTTTTTATGGTGATTTATTCATCATATTAGGGAAGTTAATGATATTTGATTCATAACTAATATTTGATAATATCATTAACCAATATTTTTACAAAAGTGGAAAGTCGTCTTCCCTCCTTGACTTAATTTTCCAAGTTCCCTACCCCATGCCATAGGCATGTTAGTACTTTCTCTTGTTTTTCCGTGGTCTGTAGAGATATAAACATGTTTGGTATCTCCCATTTCTCTTTTTCCATCCTTTTTAAATCACACATGGCTGTGTACTATGTACTCTGTGCACACTTGCTTTGTTGATATGTGTCTTGAAGATTATTCTCTGTTAGTCCATGTATCTGCCCCGTTTGGTTCGATAGCTGGTTGTCGTTCTACTCTACAGATGTATCACCATTTCTGTGTCCAACTCCCTCTTAAAAAGCACTTAAGTTGTGTCTAGTCTGTTACTGTTACAAACAACTTTGCATTGTTCAAATTCTCAGATGAAAATATGCCTGTAAGAAAAATTTCAGAAGGAGGTATGTTGGGCCACAGGATAATTTTGAATTATTTCCAAATTACTCTCCAAAGAAATTGTAGTGGTATACATACACTTCCATCAGTATTGTGCAGGAGTCTCTCTTTGCCCCTGCCCTTGCCAACAGAACAGGTTAATTGATAATCTTTGCAAATTTAATATAATAGTTTTATTCTATTTTATGAGTGTGGTTGAACATTAATAATGCTTTGATAGCCACGGAAATGTTAAAATATTTCTTTAAAAGATCCCCTGGACATTTGGGCCAGGTAACTTTTAGATCCTGTTTACCTCCATTTGTATGGGTGTCACTGGGTGTTTTCACCACTTTTGTAGCTATGTGACTTTGAGTAACTCACTTGACCCCCATTTTCACCTCATCCTAAAGTGGAACCAGAGGACGTATTAGTAAGAGCTGAGTGTAGAAACACTGGGAAGGCAGAAAGGGTTGGGGAGGTGTAAACATGAGTAGGTAATTCATCTATAAATTTATTTTGATAAGAATGAAGTTGATTCTTTCTTCTTAGGAAAAACCAGAGATTAATTTTCTCTGAGTTGACTTTGGGAGACTCATGGTTAGTGGAGCCCAGCAGAATGATAAGATTGGGTAGAGCCTAGTGAATCTGAGTATGTAATAAATAATATGTAAGGACGTAACTCTGGACGAGAGTATATGTTAAAATATGAACCTGATGTTTTTTTAAATTGACATTTAATAGACATTTATAGTATTTAATAGAATCTCATTAATTAATAGATATGTATGTCTTTTCATAGAATCTTAATAAGACACCAATTGTAAGACACAACATTCACCACTAAGGAAGAGAAAACACTGCCAATTGTACTGTACTATCATTGAAATAAAGTATTTTCATTTGTATGATGTTTTTGTTTGTTGAAATAGTGTTTTTGTTTATGTTCTTTTGTATTTGGGGTTTTTGATTATTTTAAAAATATTTGCCTTCATTCTGTATCTTTTTCTCCTAGTCCCAAGTACATTTCAGTAATTACTCACAAACTGCCCTTTTTAAGATCTGCTTGAGAAGTGTAGTATAACAGAAAGAAAAATCTATCGCCAAAGCCATTATCTACAGATTCCTTTGACTAATTAGTACTCCTAATTAGTTTTGGTTCTTCTGCCATAATCTCTTTTCATAAAGGGGTACTGCTTTTCTTTTTTAAAAAATATCCTCCTATCTTTCCTTTTGTTTCTTTGAAGAAGAGTCTCTCTTATGCTCTCCTCTGTCAAGGCTCTCTGGTTTTCTCTTTCCAAGCCTAAGGCTACCATAGCAAGCAAACTTAGCTGTGTCTAGCTCTTGTTTATTCCAACATATTCACTTATTTTACCTTATTGACAATTGTTGTCATACCCTGTAATCAGGAATTCTTTATCCTAAGTTTAATCTTTAGGAATTACATAGGCTTCTTGAAATTCTATGGAGCATTTTTTGTTTCTGCATTTTTCTCAGAAGAGTGTTCATTGCTTTTATGCAATTCTCAAAAGATTCCATGACCCAAAGAAGATGATGAATAATGGTGATGTAGCATCCCCCAGAAGGTTCTTGTTAAGTAGACGTCAAGACTCACAGTGAAAGCGCAGTGAACATCAGAGCATAGGGCAGGAAAGCACGTGTGCCAGCAGAGCAGCGCCCAGCATCTCTTTCACTGGAGGGGTCCTTACGACAGTCCACCTCCTGTCCAGAAGCCTAGGTAGACAACACCATTCCCAGGGAGGTAGACAACACCATTCCCAGGGAGGTAGACAACGCCATTCCCAGGGAGGTAGACAACGCCATTCCCAGGGAGGTAGACAACGCCATTCCCAGGCAGAAATTTTCTTGGCAGTGATTGCATGTCATGCTGGACTACTCATAAGGAGTTGAAGTGTATTCATAGCTACCTGCTTTCTTTGCTTTAATAAAAATGTGTTGATAGTCCATTCTGATTAAAGAAGCTTCCTTCTGTGAAGGAGTAAATGGGTAAGAAAAAGACTTAATATTTAAAAAATAAAGAAACTTCTACACATTCTTTGATTTAAATCTTTTTAGCAGATATCTGGTTTAGTACCTACAATGTACCAAGTACTATGCCAGGGCTTAGGAAATAGAATTTAACAAGACAAACATGGTTCAATCGCTCACCGAGACAGATTTAAACAGGCATTTGTAGTAGAAAATGGTATGTGGTGTGATAAGTATAGTACAAGGTGCTGGCAGAGTAAAAAGAATACCACTGTCTCACCCCAGTACTGTCAAACCAACTTAAGAAACATTAATTACAGCAGAGATTTTTACTCTCTTTCAGTATAATTCATGATTATCAAGGAATTGTTATTAACACCTTTGAATCTTGGGCCAACACGCTGCTGTTGTAAGGACACTATTTGAAGTACTTAACGTGTGTAAGAATTCAGACTTTTTAAACCATACATATCTTGTGAAATTGGCTCTGAGACTTTAAAAAGTTCGTTTTTGTTTACTTGTTTTTCAGAATTGATATATAAGGAAGTTATGGACTTGGAAGAGAGAACCAAGAATGGAGTTATACGGGGGCAGCCTTCTCCTTTAGGTTGGTTACAATATAAGCTTAGTCAAGATTACACTTTACTTCTCATGTTTTAGTGGCCTGAAACCTGTAGTTCTTCCCATATTTACATAACCATTATTATTCCAAGTTTAATAAGTATAAGGAGTATAATTTGGCAGTTAAATTTGAAAGCATTGGTACACCATTGTACCAATATATCATACAAATATATTGTAACTGACTTCATAAAATGCATATCACATCTTTTTCTAATGTCTTCAATACTGACATTCCATTTAACAGAAATTTAAAACCTTTTTTTGTTGGCATTATTGCCATGTCTTTAAAGAAGAGATTTCTTAAAATTCAGTATCTTATATTTCTGTGATTTTGACAGTCTTTACTTTGGCTAAATAAACAAAGACTTCACTGCAAAATTTGGTACATGTGACACCAGGTAAATTTGGTATTTTTGATTTGTTGAACTGAGGCAATAGCATTAAAACCTTCACTAGAAAGTGTTCGTTCTTGAAAAAGAAAACTGGTTTGCAGGATTAAAACACTGTCTTTTATCATAAGCTGATCTTATATTTAATTTTAGCACATGTAAAATTATAAAGTGAGAGGATAAGTTAAATGTCAGGTAACATGTACATGTTAAGTACATACCACATGACAGACACTGGTGACTTATGTACTTTATTTGTTTCAGCCCTTAAGACCCCAAGGTAGGGATTTTTATGCACATTTTACAGATGAGGAAACTAAAGTTCAGAAAATGTAAATAATATAGGATTATAAATCTATTATGTAGAAGAACTAATACAGTAACTTCAAAGTGTTGTATTATTTCCAGTATCCCATTTTGTCTTTGGTCGCAGAGGTTAGGACAGTTTTATGAAAGAGGTAAAATTTGAGCTGAGCCTCAAAGGCTGGGTAGTATTTCAAAAGATAGATCTTAACTTTGAGTAAAATTATGCCATTTAATCCCTCAAAATTTTTGCTACATTTTAAGGGAGAAAATGGATATTATATCTAGCATCTTGCTTATGGGTAGTTTTTTAACTATAGTTTCAGATACCCATTGTGTACTGTAAACATAGAATTAAGTCATTTTTGTAGCTTCTGTGACATTTTTGGTTACATTTTAGAGTTGTGCATTTTAAATCCTTGATTAGGATTGCAGTCTCCCAGATTATAATATAGATCCTGTTGAATATATAAAGTGGTTTTGATAGTTTTTACATATTTCAGAAATGGCCATTCTTTGTAATTTTCTTATAACAAATTAAAAGCTGCATTATAAATGCTTTAATCATACAGTTAATTAACTAGCTTTGTATTGCTAGTAGTAGTATAACTGAATTGTTCACGATGGAGGCTCGGGTAGGATTTGAAAAGTCCATTATTTGGGAATTTTATACTTTAGCATACTACTGTACAAGTGAATGGCACATCCCAGGTGTCAAATATTTGAGTAAACATAATAATCTCATGAGACAGATAGAGCTATTGTGTTTGTTCTTAATTTAAAAAGGAATAATTTGATTCCAAGCCAACACGTGCTTATGGTCACAGAGTACATCAGTAGAAAGGACTTGAGGTTTCTAGACTTTTTCTGGATTCTCAGAGCTTGCAAAGGAGAATGTTAGTAAATTAAGCTGTGATAAAAATATTCATTTTGTACACACAGTTCCTGGTTGTGGACAAGGACAGAAAAGAAATGGTCTTTGATAAATCAAACTATCAGATAATTACAGTACCATTTCTACTTGATTTTAAAAATGAATTACGTTATTTCTCCCAATGGATTGCCTTCTTATCTTTATTTTTGTTCAGCTAATATTAGAATCAGTTTGCTTAAATGACCTAGATTTTTGAGATTAAAGATTTTCTATATTATTGCCATTCAGATATTTGAGAATTTATTCCTTTAAAGTTTATAGAAAACAAGTGTTTTTCTTTTTCTTAGGTACTTGGTTTTCCAATTAAAAAGTTAACTAATCATGATACATTTAAAAGTTCATTTTTATCAGATTAAGAAATTTGAATAAAATAAAAGACATCCTGAACTACAGGTATATATAAAAGATATATACGGTGGCCCTTTTATGGTTTGAGTACAAATTTTAGAAGCTAGCTATGGTGTGCTCTGTATGGTGTATATACTATGCCGTTCAGTCAAAAGGCACGTAGTGTTGTAACGTAGTGTCTCATTTTCAGTCTGGCTAGGAACCTAATGGCCCTTTCTTGAATCTAGGAGTTTATCACCTTTCTCTTTTTCCTCTCTTCTATTAAGGCCTGAAATATCAGCCTGCTTTTCTGTCCCATTTCAGTTCCCATCACCTACTCTGTTCCTTCTGGTTTCATTCCATTCCTCTCCCAGTCTCCTCCCCACTGCCCTAAAGACTTGCCTATTCTCTCTACCCTTCCTGTTTCCTAGTTGCATTTGAAGTAAAGCTCTCAGAGGACCTTTAATATTTAAATGTTTGATTGCTCATCTGCACAGAATGGGAAGATAATCTCAAACACTGAGATGCTGGGTTCAGGAGCAATGGTTTTCAGTCTGTTTGACATCAACATTGTTGGGTGCCCGGAACCTCACCCTCAGAAATTCTGCTCAGTTTCAGTTTGTAAATCATTGATTTTATTCCATAAATGTGTTTTTGAGAACTTTGTATTACTTGATTATTCAAATGTGGACAGACCCTTATTTAGTGGTCATGTGATTCAATACCACATAACCTAGTGCATGAGTTGCCTTTAACATATTCTTTATCTCCAGGGTAAATCATTCCTTTTCTCTTCCCAACCCTTAGATCAAATATTTCTGTTACTTTTTAAAATCTAGGAAATGCTTGATAGGTAATACTTTTGGTAAAAGAAATAGTTGTTCCTACTTTATCTACTTAATAAATCCATATTTTTGTTTATCAACTATTAGAATACAAATAAGAAGACCTGAGTTTACCTAACTAGATCACTTGAGTGACCTTGGAAAATTACATAACCTCATGTAAACTGGGGCAATTAAACTAAGGTTCCTTCCAATTAAAATGATTTTATTCTTTGTCTTGGCTTTTGCTTTGAAATAAGATATACCAGAAATATCATTTGGACATTTCCTTTTTAGTGAGAAGTTATCATAAATAATTTTTTGTAGAGAAGTTTCTAACTTTAGTAGTCATATAGTCCTTTAAGATTCTTTTTCCAGTAAAATTCAATATAGATAGTTTTGCATGTATTATCAGTACTATTCACACACACCTTGAAGCCCATTTATGGATCTTGCTATAGGACCATTTCTAAACGTGGCTTAGACTTAAAATTCTTGCCTTGAACTAAAAAACAAATTCATAAAAAGGACAGGACTCCAGGTTTTGAGACATTTTCAAGATTCTTTCCTCATAGCTGGCAATGAGGAGCGTTTATAAGTCAGTGTTGTTTGAATATCATTTGTAATTATCCTCAGTGAGCCTTTTGAACCCAAGAGAAAAGTTACTGGCTACTGGAGGGAGGGAGGACAGTGCAAGTAGCTCAGTGTGCAACTCTGTCTGCAACTGATTTGCTGTTTTGTTTCTCATAGCACAGGTGCAGCAGTGATCAATGGCTCTCAGCATCCATCGTCATCGTCGTCTGTCAATGATGTGTCTTCAATGTCAACAGATCCGACTTTGGCCTCAGATACAGACAGCAGTCTAGAAGCATCAGCTGGACCTCTGGGCTGCTGTAGATGACTACTTGGGCCTTCGGGTAGGGTGGGGGAGGGACGGGGAGTCGGTTAGTCATTGATAGAACTACTTTGAAAATAATTCAGTGGTCTTATTTTTGAGTGATTTTTCAAAAAAATGTAGGATTCATTTTGTAGTAAAGTAGCTTATTTTTTTTAATTTCAAGTGATGTAATTTAAAACCTAAGTTGTGTTTTAAAACAGCAACAAAACTGTATTGTATTTTTTGCTGTAATTAACTGTATAATGTAAACCTAATTATTTTAATATGGTTTAAATTTTTTGCATATTTGCTTTATCTTATGCTGCTGATTTTTTTTTTTACTGAATTTGTAAGATTTTATCAAAGCAACTATTATGTGGTGACTTGCCTATATCTTGAATTATTTAAGATTTTTATAGTTTTTTTTATTAGAATTTATTTCAGATGTTTTGTTCATGATACTATCCTTCAGGGTTATGTGCTTATCAATGAAATAACCCCAGAGGAATGAGGGAAAATAACCCGTAGCCAGTTATATTCAGGAATAACTACTGTAAATGATGAACGTGTTAAGAGACCTCCAATATTTGCTACTTGCCAATCCTAATTTAGTTACAACAATTGGTAGGCATCCTACTTAATTTTGGCAAAAGCCCCATCATCTAAGTGGCAGAATAACTCAGAGCATGTCTTTGAGGATGCTGGGCTTCCACCACCACCTTCTTACCTCCCCACCCTACCCAACAAAAGTCAAGTACAAAGAATATGGTGTATTCTGCAAATTTGTGGCATGCTCAAAGTTTATGATCGCATAAAGTCAAGAGGATACTTCATGAATAATACATTTCAATGCAAATAAACAGATGGTTCACTTCTACTAGCTATGAGCCTGTTTTTGTATATACTGAGTTAATCTACTCAGGCTGTAGGCCCCAGCAGTGTTCTTAGAGTCTGGTCTTTCCATTTCCTGCAGCGGCAGGCCCTTTCCACTTGCCTGTTACTTGGCATGCCAGTCGAGCACCAGTTCTCCTGGTGTTTGTGGCCATTTGATTCTACCTATAGCATAATTGTATCTATTCTTATTGTCGGGAGGTTCCAAAGCCTACTTAGATTTGTGTAGGTGATGTATCAAATGAGCAATATATACCGTTCATCTGAAAATAGTAGCACACAGCCATATATAGGATATCATTTTCTAAGGACTGTTTCTTCACATTGAGCAGAGCAGGCATAAATGGTGGTTATTTGGTCTGAGTCTTTCATTTTTTATACCTGATTTTCAATATAACACACAATGTGGATGTCGAGTAGTGTTAAGAATGGTGCTGCTCCTGACAAGTGTATGTTAACTGTTTACATTTTGTATCTGCAGAATTATTTCTCTATAACTGAATTTTTCCTAAGTAAAATGTTATTGGAGTCTCATTATTTCTGAAATACATTATCTGTAATATAACCCAAGCCCAAGCACCTTTTGTTATCTCTGGAACAAGAGGGATTTAACGTAGTGAACTGGGAAATGCATACTTAAATAAGTGGCAAGGTTCTAGGGAGAAAGCTCTTTGGAATTCATGGCCAAGAGAAACAAAAACAGATGCAGCTCAACATGCAATGTCTGAAAGTTCACTTGGCATTTTATTCATATGCTTAGTGCAGAATTCCTTTTCAGCAAGATATTTTAGGTCATTGTTAATGTGCAATATTTAAGATTAAAATCCCTTAGCCTTTTTATATACTTTGAAACAGCAAGTTTTTTTTCCATGGTTTAGAGTCATGATTTCTAGTGCCCTCCACCTTGTTATTAGTCCCTTTTCTATTCATACAACATGATGCCGTAATTTTATTAGGGAAATTCAAGTCTTAAGACTACAGCACTTCTTGAATTGTAGACACGCAGGATTGGAATCACAATTTTAGCAGAAATTTGAGCATGAATGTGTTCTTAGTTTGTTCATTTGACAGTTAATTAATTAGCTTTATTTTCTCTAAGAGTATGTCACCATTGCACTTTCTCAAGACTCCCATATTTCATGTTGGATTGCTGATAAGCCATCTCTGTCAATACATATTTTGGTTAAGCAAGGAAAACCAGGCGTACTGAATACTGTGTCACTTGTAAATGCCAGCTCCTACTTGCCAACCATCATGTTTCAGTTGAATTCAAAGAAAACAAACTCATATTACTTAATGTAACCCAAAATACTTAACAAATTGTATCCTAAAAACAAGATCTGTTTGTTAAATGTTGTGTGCCCTAGGTTTTTAAAACACTATGTTTAAATACAGCTTCCCTTCTTTTAAATTTGTTAAGCTAAATATATATTGGTTTTTATTTTATAATCTTTTTTTTTTTTTTGAGACGAGGTCTCGCTTGGTTGCCTTGGCTGGAGTGTAGTGGCGGCGCCATCATAGCTCACTGCAACGTCAAACTCCTCAAGCGATCCTCCTGCCTCAGCTTCCTGAGGAGCTGGGACTACAGGCATGCGCCACCATGCCCGGCTATTTCATAATCTGTAAAGCATCTTAAACACTTTTTTAAGAGAAATTATAAATAACATTTCTATCCACTAGTACTTACGTAAAGCCACCTTTCCTATCCTATAATTTTGGTTTTTCAATTTTATACAGTTAATGTACCTGCTGTCTTACTGTCAGAAAATTATGTTGACCAAGATTTATTATTCAGCTTTGTAGGTTAGGAAGGAGACACCAGTCCTTTCCACATGCCTTCCTGTTTACTATTCTCTTACCTTCTAATGCATACTGACCATTTGTAAAACCGTCGGGATCGCTTAATGCTAATGTCCATGGCTAGAGCGTCTCAGCTCTTCTGTGCTGCGTGCTGAGCAGCTTTCAGCTTTTCGCGCACCTTTGGCTGCTGCTTGTTCCTGGCGTGCACTCCTCCAAGTTGGGGAGGCTCAGCGCCTTCACACCAGGCTTCCTAAGAGAAAACCAGCCTCTTAAATGAGCAGGCCACCGCACAGCCCCGTCACGGCATGGAGAAGCGTGACTGTGAAGCAGCAGACTTTCCTGTGAGCCGTTCACTGTCTGTTCTGTGCTAATCCTGGTGTGTTGTCTGAAAAGGCGAAGAGGACATCGGTGTCTGATAGTGAAGTCAGCATTCCTTGGTTACAGATAAGACTTGGTTTACTCTGTCAGCCAGTATCTGCTACATGTATGAAGACTTAACTATTCAGTGTTGCCTGGTGTAGCCTGCACAACATTTTGAGGTAAAAACATCGTATATTTTCAAAAATACTCGTGTAGTTTGTGAGTGTTGTTCATTAGTCACACATTAGCTGTAGAGTGGATGCATGAAGCCCCATGACCCCAGTAAACTTCCCTTGCAGTAGAAACCCACATGCCACCATTCTGTCATTAGCAGCCCTTAATGCCGCCCTCCATACGCTGTTGCATCTTACTGTGCATTGTGTTTCTACTGATCATCCCTCTTAGGTTTTTCGTGAGTTAAAGGAAACTAATTTTTCCTTAATAGCAAGAAAGATAAAGAGGTAAAGGGCATTGAAGCAGAAATATGTAGTTTGGGGTACGATTAGAAAACGTGTAAGGAAAACAAAAGTCCTAATTAATTTCAAACTGACTGCTCTTAGTTAAGTGCTCTTATGGAGAGTCTAATAAGAGTAATACTTTCTGGCCATTTCTGGTTTAGATTCTCTTTGTTACTGAAACTTTTGAGAAATATTACCTGTGGATTAGTTTTGCACAATGTTCTATTCTCACAATGACTTACAAATTAAACTAGGTTTTTATTGAACTACCTCACACTAATTTTCTATGCTTTCCCAAGTCAGCTGTTGCCCTTACTGTTAGATCTTTACTGAGTGTGAATTACAAATGTGTGTTCAATACTTTTCAGCCAATGTTGACACAACACCAGTAAGTATGTAAAATATATACCTTGCATCAGTAGGAGACATCAAGTGTAAAATCTTTCACTGTGTATCTCGGAGAATTGTGGTAGATGTGCTGGTTGACATTGTTAATGTCTGTTTTTGTAAGTAGAAACCTGCTCGTGATAGCAGTCCATTCTTTACATTTTACATAAGGAGTAAATCTTAGTAAATTTTACAAAGAAATAAATTACTTTTGTAGGCCCAATATTTGGTATATTTTTGAGAAGCTGTTAATCTTTTAGCCGAATGATGAAGTTAAACTGAAGTAGCTGTCTACCTGGACTGTGACATCTATTTTCTCATTACAGTTTATCCTGTTCAGCAGGTTGTCAGACCTGGAAACCGAAGTATGATAATTGACATTTGTTTTCCCCCTGTACCTTCCTTCTTCATGCCTCTCCTTCCTGTGTTCCAGTTCCTCTCCTCCTTCCCTCCTCTCCCCTCCCCTCCCCCCCCTTCCCCTCTCCTCTCTTTAAAACAAAATGGGGCACTTTGTAGGGAATGCTGAGATCATTATTGTGGTTTTTAATCATTCATGCCCTAGTCATTAAACATGCACCACTGGAATGTAAACAGTGTTACCTAGTATGTCAATGGTTATAATATTTTAAATAAAAAAGAAAAAACTGGTATGAAAATTTTGAAATTAAGTTTTTTTCATTGAAAACAAAATAAAAATTTGTGGTAAGAAGTTTTTCTTAGCAATTTTAGGATTTCCTATCGATTGGGTAAAGGAGTATTATTAAAATACTAAGACAAATTTCTTAGATTTGAATTTTGTAGATTGTAAAGAGCCCAAACTATTGCCCTGGTTTTCTGGTTGATCTGGTTTTGCTTTTCTGATGTTGGAAATTGCTGGAGAAAGTTTACCTAAAAAAGAAACTTTGCTTCAACGCCTTTAACCTGTTTCTTGGTAATCATTTGAGACAGCAGCCATCGTGTACATGTGGCAAAAATAAGTGTTTAAAACTGAGTCCTGTTTCAAAACAGCAGAGGGTTTTGGCTCTGAGTGTATTTCCAGCTTTTGCTGTGTTTATCTTTTTTGCCTACATTGGGTGGGCTGCTGTGTGGGAAAACAGGGTCACTCGCTACATTCTGTCCCAACCTCTGAACGATGACGCTGTCCATTCTGCTCGACTCTTGCCCCAGATAAGCCTGGTACTCATGCTTCCCATGTCTGAGGAGAAGAGAGGGGACAGGGGCTGGACTTTGACCTGGGGGCCTCAGCCCATGCCTCTGCAGGCCTGGCGCAGTCACTGGAGTGGTCTCCAAGGAGAAAGAGGCAAAGGCAGACATCAGAACGTTGAGTTTAAACTTGTTACTACTTTAGTGATTTTTTTATATTTTTACCCAGTCATAAAATGGAGTAATTCATCCTTTTTAATTGACATACTGCATTTTCTTAGTATTATTTCTTAAAAGGTCCATTAACTATGTAAATGAAGATTGCTTTGTGTTGATTTTGTGGTTTCAAGGTTTATTTTAGACCTGTTAGAGTTTAAATAAATACAAGTATTTCTTTGGACTTCATTTGAACCTAAAAGATACTTCACATATGCTTTGTAAATGTGAGGCTTCTAACATGTATTTCATTTAATTTCATCTGTTAATGATTAAGGAAAGCATATACATCTGAGACCATGTGCTAGGAGTGAGGAGAGACAAAAACAGATGACAGTCTAGACCACCTGATTGAAATAGTGTTACATAGAGGAACAAGGAGCATGCTGAAGGGACACAGGCAGAGGGACTCAGTAGATGAAAGGAGAGTTTTATAAAGGATGTGTATTTTGAGCCTTGGCAGGTTTAGAGAGGAAGGGTGTTGGAGGCTAAGGAGGAGCCAAGGGAATTTAAAAGAAAGTGCCTGGGCAAGGAATGAGGAATGGCTGGCATGGGTATGGGTGTGGGTGTGTGAAGAAATGGGAGATGAGACTGACAAGTGGAGGTTCAGAACTGAAACACCGAAACAAGCTGAGGATCAGACCTGAAAACATCAGGAATTATCTTTATTTTGTAGGTGGCAGGAACCCATTGTAGTGTGTGAGGAGTGATAAGCCCAGACCCTTGTTTTAGGACAGTCACTGACAGCGGAAGCAAGTCTAGTTAGGCCAGAGGTATGGAGATTGGTGACTGGAAGCCAGAGGTATCCAGTTGAGAGAGCAGTGGGAATGGAAAAGAAGGGGCTTATTCAGAAGCGTTGCCATGACATAGGCGAAGGCACGCAGGTTAGCATCTGGAGCTGGGTAAGAAGGTCTAGAGCCCTGATGATTGGGCAGCAGGCAAGAGCTGGTGTGGGAGAATACACTCGGTGTGGTTTCCAATTTGTACATCCCAGTTTGAAGGCTCTGTGGCAGAACACATGTCAGATATGGTGTCAAGTCGCCACTGACAGTTCTGGGGGTGGGAAGAGGGGAATAATTGGTTTGCTCCCCTACCTGCCTGTAGACCTGTGTCTTTCCTCGTGAGGGTTGAGTCATCTGCTTGCCCGGTCCTTCTGTTTTCATTAGCATCATTTTGTGCACAATGGAAGAAGATAGGAGAGAGATTCCTGTGGCATGTAGCACATGCGAGACTTTTAGAATTACCTAGACAAGTGGGGCATAGTTCTGATTGCCAAGCAGTGAGTGAGTGGCGAAGCAGGTAACAAAAGTACTTTCGAAAACTTGGCAGGAAACGTAAAGTCATGACAGTGTCTTCAGAGAAGAGAGAGGTAGACTGAAGAGGTCAGAACGAGTTAAAAAGGGACAAACCAAAGGTGTCTTTACGAGACAAGGTCCCAGAGAGGCTGGGATCTGCTGGATCCTGCAGGTCCAGGTGAGCCACAGCTCCAGGTGGAAAGCTGAGGCCATCTTGGGGAAGTCTCTACCAGGCTGAGCCAGGCTCTACTTCACAGCACAGGAGGGTGGGGCACCCCTCATGGGGTTGCCATGGTGACAGGAAAATATGTACTTTGATGAAAATAATCAGTGTAAAGCCCAATGTAAAATGGATGGTTTTAGCCTTGGATAGAAATAGAACTGGTTTAAGATATGGAGAACTGTTGAAGAGAAAGGCAAGCCTTTTGTGTGGCCTCACACCTGAGAACTGCTGTGCACTCAGACCCGAGTCATCCTCTCATTCCCAGTCGTCCCAAACTTTTCGTGGTTGTTAAGAATAATTCCTCATTTGAGAAAAATGCCTCAAAGCCAATATTGAATTTTTATTAACAATTAGAACAGCTGAACATGGTTCTGGTTCTATTTCATGTCATTCCCACCATGCCCATTCCAGCTGGACTCCTTCGCAGCACACACTTTGCGTCTCTGTGCACGCTGCTCTGCTGTGGCCCTTAACTTCTCTGTGCTTCCATGTCCTCAGCTGCACAGTGCAGAGAATAATGTCACCTACACTTTTAGGGAGTAGATGACATATGCATGCAAGGCACTTAGAACAACCACTGCTCTGCGAAGTTATCCTCACCTTAGACATTTTCCCACAAACCAAGCTGTTCGGTGTTTGCCAAAAAGCTTTCCACAGCTTTGTCTCCCTACTGTTTTCACAGACCACAACACACCTGGAGACCCGTGGGCTCAGCTGTCAGCAGGGCTTGGTGGGAGACGCAAGTAGCAGTGATGTGCCTGGTAGAGAAGGTGGCGATTCCGGCAAAGGTGGTGGTTCTTGGTGGACACGGGACTACAAGACAGGCAGCGGCGACGTGGTGCAATGTCATGGCGCCTCCGCTGGGATCTCGGGAGACTTGTGACAGAGCTGCTTAGGATGTTGGGAGGGCTCTGCAGGGGACTCGGGTCGGAGAGAGTCTGTGAAATGTCACTGTTACTGACTCCATGTATTACCCACAGGCCAGGGAAACGTGGATATATGGATTCCATTTGGAAGCCCGTTTACTTACAGAATGAATATGATTCATTCTTGGTCAACGTTCAAAAGCCAGTTAAAACAGAGTCTCTCTTCTCTCCCTCCCTTTCCACCCCCCATACACATACACACCACATGACCTTAAAACTGTTTCCTAACTTTAAAAAAAATGTACATTCGTCAGTCTTTGCCAACCCTTTTGTTTTTCAGTGTGAGATATTCACAATTTCCAGGTTTTTTTAAAGTCCAACACAAGTTTTAAAATGCTTTTGTTATAATCTGAGAGCAGAATCCTAGATTTTTACCAGTCTTCCACTATTGTATGGTTGGTTCATCCATATTTAATTTGAGAATATTTTTAGCGACTTGCCTATACTGAATCTTTCTAAAGAATTTCACTAGGGTTCCAAAGAATTAATGTCCTATCTGTTCATGTTCATAATTCATTGATTCAGTTAATATTAACTGGTGTCATTACAACAAGGTTGGGGAACAGATTGAGTAAATGTAACTCAGTTGGAGCAGCAGAAGTGGATGGGGTGGGTGGGGATAGTAGGCCAGAGCGCCCCCCGGCCAGCCACAGTGCTCTGTGTGCAGGAGAGTCAGAAGTCAGATGTTTCGCAGGCAAGGCGGGGAGTGCTGGCTACAGAGAGACTTCTGAATAGTGCCAATTAATTTTCAGATAAGGGCCGGGCGTGGTGGCTCACACCTGTAATCCTAGCACTTGGGAGGTCTAGGCGGGTGGATCATTTGAGCTCAGAAGTTCGAAACCAGCCTGAGCAAGAGTGAGACCCCGTCTCTACTAAAAATAGAAAGAAATTAGCCAGACAACTAAAAATATGTAGGAAATTAGCCGGGCATGGTGGCGCATGCCTGTAGTCCCAGCTACTCGGGAGGCTGAGGCAGGAGGATCACTTGAGCCCAGGAGTTTGAGGTTGCTGTGAACTAGGCTGATGCCACAGCACTCTAGCCTGGGCAACAGAGTGAGACTCTCTCAAAAAAAAAAAAAAAAAATTCAGATACAAACTGTTTGCAGGCCCTAGTTTTGCCAGCAGGTGGCAGACGTGGCTCACGTGCTTATGTGCCGTACGTTGGACTGACTTGGCCCGACGCTGAGCCTTGCCAGTAGTAGTGGCTAAGACTGAGCAGACAACTTTCCTTTCATCATGCGAAACCGCTTTGGTCTTCTCTGCTCTCTTATAGCCTGGTGGCATCTCTTTCCAGAGTCAGCAGAATTCCAGGACTGTGGGGCGGGAACTCAGTAGGATTGTAAGAATGTGTTCCCACCCAACTTCTCTAAGCCTCAGTTTCTCCTCTGACTAGGGAGAGTGGGGCCACTTGCTACCTTACTGGGTTATCGTGAGGAGTCAAAGTCGCCTCATGTTCATGTTCTTTTCTCTTTCTCCTTGAATAGGCGGGGGCAGCATTTCACTTTGGGGAAGCTCCAGGCACTCAGATGGCCACTCGCCAGGGCAGTGGCGAGAGCAGACAATGGCTCTCCACTGGCCACTCCGAGCTCCCAGCAATGCCCTGACCGCTGATCCTGCCAGAGGCCGCGGCAGGCGCCCAGCTTCCTAGTTGGTGCGGTCACCAGTTAGCTGCCAGGGACGGCCAGCAGCTGGCTACCCACCATGGGAATCACCTGCCTGGCTCAGCCCTCTGGGCTTGCACTTCATGGTGAGGAACTAGCATTTCCTGAGAGCGCTGACACCCTGGCATTTAAAGCCTTGGCCCGTCTCAACAGGCCAGGTGTTGTAGGTTTGTATGTGACAGTTTATGTGCCAGGTTATATATGTTGGTTGGCCTGAATGACTTCTGCAAAGACAGTGGTCAGAAATCGGGGTGCTTTGGTGACCACCACTCTCCCCCAAACCCCCTGCAGGGGGCAGCGAGAGGCCACCTTGGGACGCTGTGAGGGAGCAGGTGAAGGCAGCTCTGACGCTGCTGTGCCCGAGGCCGGGAGCTCTGGTCGGGGCCTGGCTGTGCGGTGCGGGCGGGCCTGGCCCTGCTGGGGCCCTGACGTCTGAGGGCGAACTGCAGGAGAGGAACAGCAGGGAAGGGCACGGGGTTAGCACGCTCTCCCAGAGAGCACGGGGATGGGCAGGGCCACGTGTGAGGGGTGGGCACCTGGAGGACTGAGCAAGCACGTCCCCGCCTTGGCTCAGCTCTCCTGTGGACGCATGCCACAGTCACCGTGCTGCCAGGGCGCAGAAGCAGCACCCGGCCCGCACTCCCGCCACAGGCACCAACCCTGGGGCACAGCTAGGGCCAAGCAACGAGAGCAGCTTGTGGCGGAAGGCAGGGGACCGCCCTAGACAGCACCCAGCTCAGAGGCACAGATGGCTCAGACAGGGAGGGAGGGAAGGCATCTTGCCTTACGCGCCTGGGTGATGGAGCCGAAGGCACGGGGTCTGCACAGATCCCCCCTCGCCAACCAGGCCAGGTGCTCCCAGGGCCACACAGGCCACCTCTGGAGGCCTTCCTTCCTCCACGGCACACCCCGGGGCACCCAGCCCTGCCTGAAACAGTGGCGGTCACTTGGTAAACCCCATTTTGTACAGCAACACAGAATAAATCGGGTAAGGCGGCATCATGCTTTCTGAGCAAATTTAATAAAGCAAACTGTTCCTGGTGGCTACCCAGATCCTGGGTGCCATCCATTTAGGTGGCCATGGGGGACTTTTCCTGGGTGAGGGGCTAAACGCTGCCCCTTTCTGACACCCGCCAGGCCCCACCTGGTTGGAGCAGCATCCGGATCCTGCCTGGGGTGCCGGATCCTCCCTGCTCTTCGAAGGCCTCTGTCCAAGCTCCAGAGGGCTTGGAGCCTCCAGAGGGCTCCAGAGGGCCGTGGCTCCTCGTGTGGCGGGAGGCCAGCAGACAGCACAGAAGGGGCATGGCTCCTTTTATTTTTATTTTCCTCCCCTGCCTTTCCTTTTACTTAGGGGCTCTGGCACCTTTCGTCCCAACAGTCAAGCTTCCCAGGGTCGAAAAGAACTCCTCCATCTCCCTCTGCAGCAGCTGGTTCCTCCGCTCCGCGTCCCCGCGCGCCCGCTCGGAGTTGCGCAGCTTGATCTCCAGCAGCACGTTCCTTTTCTTCTCCTGCTCCAGCTCCTCCTCCAGGCAGGACACGCACCGCCTCAGGTCCGCACTGTCCTCCTCGAGTCTTGAAGACCAAGAAGAGACACCCGGTTTTAGGCTCTGGCCTGCTGGGTTTGGCCTCGGCCCTCTAGCACTCACCGCAGGGGAGGCCAGGCCTCCCGAGGACCCAGACTTTACCCGCAACAGCCCCAGCGGCTCCCCGTGGCCTGTAATCGCCCTGTCCTCATGAAATCTTAGTCCTCACTAAAATAAAGAGCACCTGCTGCGCCAGCACAGCCACCTGTCCTGCTGGGGGGTCGCCTGCCAGTTGAGGGAAGCAGCACAGGTCCCACATGGGGGTCAAGGCTCAAATTGTCCCCTAACCTTTGCTGTCCTGCCCCAGCCTCCCTCCTGGCTCCCCCCAGGGTCCCCATGCCCAAGCCAGACATGGCAGCTATCTGGGTAATCACTTCCATGCCTAGTATCTGCAATATATACAAAACTCTTACAATTTTTTTTTAAGAGACAGGGTCCCGCTCTGTCATCTAGGCTAGAGTACAGTGGTGCGATCACAGCTCACTGTAACCTCGAACTCCTGGGCTCAAGCAATCCTCCCACCTCAGCCTCCTGAGTAGCTGGGGCTATAGGTATGCACCACCACACCTGGCTAAGTTTTCTATTTTTTGTAGAGATGAGGTCTCACTATGTTGCCCAGGCTGGTGACAAACTCGTGGGCTCAAGCAATCCTCCTGCCTTAGCAATCCTCCTGCCTTAGCCTCCCAAAGTGCTGGGATCACAGGCGTAAGCCACCTTGCCCAGCCCACACCATGTATTTTTAAAAAGGTATCTTATTTATGGTCTCTGTCCCCCTGCCCCCTAAATAAGAATGCAGGCAGATATTTTGATCAATTGGGGCCACAGCTGTGTCCCCAGCACCCAGCACAGTGTCTGGGACTTTACAGACAACAGATTCTCTTTGGGGACTGCACGAAGGGAGGCTGGCTCCCAACCAGGTTAGGCAGGACACTGAGCCACTCCCGTCCCCATCCAGTGACTCTGTATGTGCCCAGGACAGGGCCCATATTCCCCAAGGCCTGGGCAGGATGGGTGCTAGTCCCCCACCTTCCCTCCTGTGCTCAGAGACCCTCCTCACTCGACATCCTCCCTCCCTCCAACCAGGACGACAACCCCTCTGCAAGGGCTACCACTGCTGTCCCTTTCCTCTGGGGACCGCGTCTTCCCTCCAGCCCCGGAGCAGGGGTTCATACACGCCGAGGAGGTTCCCAGGCACTCTGGAGGTGCCGAGCCCTGCCACCCACTGACCACTTAGTCCTCAGGACAGATGGGGGAGATCACTGGCACAGGGAGCTGCCGGGGACACTCAGCCGACACCTGGTGGGGCCGAACTCCAGCCCAGGCAGTCTGAGCAGAGCCACCAACAGCACTGCATCCTCCCTGAGGAGCCGTGCCCGCGCCCGCGGCTCTGCAGACAGCCGGGAGAGAGACGCCGCCTGCCGCCGGCCGCGGGCAGCCTTCTGTACAGTGAGACGTCCAGCCCCGCGGCTTTCGTGCCGGAGCTCAGTTACCGCCTGGCACCGGGTCTGTGGAGGGCGCCACGGCTCCTCTGCCTGGCGAATTCCAGACCAGGGCCTACATTCTCGGGTCTCCCCAACAAGGCTACACCCCGGGCACACCTGCGCCGGTTCCTTGCTCCTCTGCTCAGCCCGTGCCTTGGTCCTCCCAGTCCTGGCTCAAGCATTGCCTGCCATGACCTCCCCCATGGCAGGGGCCTCTGCTCTCAAGGTCCCCCTTCCATCTCTCCCCTGCCCCCACTTGGCCTGGGCGTGCCTGGCACTCCCTGGTGCCCAGGACACGGCTGTCAGCAGAGCAAGGGCCCAGGGCTGCCATTCCAGCTTCTGGTGGAAACCCCAGGCTCAAACGGCCGCAAGAATGCCTTCCACCCACTCCCGTCCCTGCTGGAGAAAGGACACCTCAAACCCGCCCCCATGTGGGCCCTGGACACAGGGCAGCCAGCTGCTGGGACCTGGGGCCAGCGTGGCTGAGGGGCCTGAGGCGCTGACAGGAGCCCAGTGCAGTCTGCCCTTGACCCCAGCGGAAGAACCTGGCCCCTGCAGCCCCCTGGATAGCGCCAGCGAGCTGTGATGTGCGTGGGAGGCTGCCTCGGCACGGAAACTGGGTTCTGACCGCAGTCCGCGCCCCTGCCTGGCCTGGGGCCTCCGAGCACAGCACCTGAGCTAGTGGGCTCTGCATGGGACAGCCCGGGCCCTGCCTCTACTGGGCCTGAACCCCCCTTGGCAAAGGCACCGGTGCCCTCAGCAGGTATTCCTGGAGCTGCCTGCCTGCCAGGCCAGCCAGCGCCAGAGCCTTCCAGAGACAGGTCCCCGCCGCCGCCCCCTTGTCCCCAGCGCCGCGGCTCCCGCCCGCCTGCCCAGGCCTGCTGTCAGGGCCAGCGGGGCACAGCGCTCCAGCAAGGGGGCCCGCGCGGCCCTTACCTTTTCATACTCAGCTCATACTCAGCCCTCTGCCGGCTCAGCTCCCCCCTGAGCTCCGAGACCAGGCCCTGCAGCGCCTCGGAGCGGCGCGCGCGTTCCCGGACCGGGCTGCCCGGCTCCCTGGGCTCGCGGCCGCCCGCCTCGTCCGCGCTGCGGCCGGGGCCCGGGGAGTGGCGGTCCTCGCTGTCGCTGGGGAGCGGGGACGGCTCCAGGGCCCACTCGGCGTGCAGCGAGCTGCGGGCCGACGAGTCGCTGGCGCGGCAGGCCGTGCAGCTGCTGAGCGAGGCCCCCGCCGAGGCCTCGCCCCACGACGGCCAGGACCACGCGCTGCTGGCCGCGCTGGGCGTGCCGGGCGCCAGGCTGGGCGGCGGCACGTTGTCGTAGGTGGAGAGTCTCTGCGCGGAGTCCGAGTCCGGGAGCCGGTCTCCCGACGAGGCCCGGCGGTGGCCGCGCAGCGTGGACAGCCCGTTCATGAGCCAGTTCCCGCCCGAGGAGATGATGGGCACCTCCAGGGACGAGCCAACCCCCTTCGGGCTCACGGACCCAGACCCCGGCTGCCGGAAGGACGACTTCCAGCCGGGCAGAGTCTGCACCTTCTTCGCGGGGCCGGCGGGTGCGGGGCGGCTGCCCAGCCCCGTGGAGGAGGCCCTGGCCAGCACGGCCGCGGCGGCCCGGTCCAGAGACGAGGTCCTTTGCGCGGGCAGAGCGGGGCCGCCGGGCCCTCCCTGGCTGTCCCTCGAGACCTCCTCGGGGCCCCAGCCCACTGCGCAGTGCGGGCCCCCGCGCGGGGCGGCGGGCGCTGGCGCGGCCGAGGCGCTGAAGAGCTGGCTGTGCTTGCGGATGAGGACGGTCATCAGGTGCTGCACGAGGGAGGTGCCTGCAGTGAGAGGAGGCCTCGTGTGGGCGCGGGAGGGAGCTGCAGCCCCGCACCGCCGCCTGGGCCTGCGCCCAGAAGCAGGCGGACCTCCACACCCCAAATCCAGGGGCGATGGGACAGCGCCCAAGAAGGGCCTTCCCCAGACGCGGCCTCCAGCAGGGAGGAAGCGCCGTGCCCGGCAGCACTACCCGCCGCTGCCAGGAAGCGCAGACACCAGTCGAGGCCGCAGGAGGCAGAGCCCCGCAGCAAAGGAAGGGCCTCGGTGTCTGTCCAGCTGCCCCAGCCCTCCCGTTTCCCACTGCCAAGCCAAGACCACAAGCCAGGGCGGTCTGCGGGCACGGAAGGCTGAGTGCCTGAGTGGGCCCTCCCGCTGAAACCAACTAGGAATCCTGGAAACATGGAGCAAGGATTCCCAGGCCCAAGCACCAGGCGAGGCAGGCAGGTGCTGCAGGCAGGGCAGGCCTTCACACCAGCAGCCCGGCAGGCGGGAGCCAGCACGGCTCTTCCTGGCCACGCCAGACCTGGGGCCAGGACCCAGCAAGGACAGGCCCAGGTGCTGCCCTGGGCAAAGGCACCTGGGAGACCAGAGCAGCCGTCCACGGGCTGGGAGCAGCGCTGTAGCTTCCTTGCCGCCTGCACGGTGCCCTCTGTCATGTGTGGCTGACTGGCCTCTGGTGAGTCACTTCACCTCTCCTGGCCTATTTCCTTATCTGTAAAATGGGGCATGGCCACAGCATGGGCTGGTCGTGAGACTGAAATTAGGTGATACACATACAGTTCTCAGTAGCATCATACTGAAAGCTCATGCTGCCGTTGGTTTTTTTTATCATTATTTATCATAGAGGAGAAATTCTCCAGGGCTTGCAAAACTCCAACATTCAGGACTCTATGGCAATGACTTTATCATAAAAGTAAAGCACAAACATCTGTGTGTGTTCAAGGGCAAGAGTGCTGACTGCTCCCACCCTCCCCCAGTCTCTCCTGTCACAGCAACCGGTGGCCACTCTAACTGCGCCCGATGACCTGCTGCTGCCAGTCACAGGGCAAAGTTCCTTTTCCTTTTGCAGCTGGACCCATGGAGGTGGGGGAGTGAGAGGCTCCTGCCAAGTCCCCAGAGATGGAGACGCCACCTGAGCCATCCCTCCTGCAGGCCTGGCCCTGGGCTGGGCTGGTTCTGAGGACTTGCCCAGACTGCAGCAGCCCCCACAACCCCCAGGCATGCCTCCCTCATCACCTTCCATGATGGTCACTGGGTCTTCTATCTGTGGTCGTAGAATGTTAGGTCCAAAAACAGTTGCTAAGTTCTGGACACTCATCTTGTTGACGTTTGAGTGGGACTGAACTTCATCCAGAAACCTGCAAAGGAAGGAAGAAGCACTTGGTGAAGAAGCAAATTCTAATGCCCAGCCTGCTGGGAGCTGCCTGGACCCCACGCCCAGCCTTACTGCCCGTGGGCTTTGGCTGCCGGGCACAGCCTGCCCCTGCCAGGCTCAGATGAGGGCAGAGCCTCCCCTGGGGTCCCAAAGGGCCATCAGGAGCAAAGGCCACTGGGGCAAGGGCACCTGGCTTGCATGGAAGGAGGATGCATGACCTTCCAGCCTGCAGTGGGAGTGCCCTGGAAGGCCATGCCAGCATGCCCCTCCCGGAGCCTGAGGGGACCAGGAAGGGCTGTGGTCAAGGGGCAGACACCTGGGGGAGCAGGATGGTGAGAGGTTCTCAGGAGGGACAGAGGGTATGTCCCTTTTGGAATGATCCACTTGGGACTGTTTAGAACCACCTGCTCCCACGAGACCATAAGTTCCTTGAGCTCAGGGCATGCTCTTCACACTCCCCACTGGCTGCACACCCGGTGAGGCTGTGCGGGGGTGCAAGCCAGGCCCCTCTGTCAGTGGGGCTGTGTGCATCGGGGGGTGAGCAGGTATAAGAGGGGGCAGTCCCCCCCCATGCCACTTACTTGCAGATATATCTAAGCAGGTTGTAATTGGCCTGAGGAAGGTTGCTCACTTGTTTAGCCAACTCCAGAGTCCCCTTGGGAAGGAAGGAGAAAAACACAGAATTTCAGACACAGCCTGCCTGGACAGGCCTGGGGGAAGGGTGGGCAAGAAGCCGGTGGCCCATGCGCCCAGCCCTGGCCCAGCAGGCTCCACCACTGACAGGCTATGGCCTCTTGGGGAGCTGACTTGCTTTTGGGAAGCTGGTTAGAGGGGTGAGCCTCTGCTGGGCCACGGAGGAATGTCAGGGCCAGCATTCAGCCCACTTATCAAGGCACAAATATTTGCCAGGTAACAACCCCTTGTCTCCCGCACAGCCATAGGAAGGCAAACAGTCCACCCAGCCCCGAGCCGGGGGCTGCAGACCGGCCTCTGTCCTGGGGCAGCTCACGCTCTTCTGGGAAGGAGGCGGGACATAGTAGATAAAAGGTGCCCTAGTTTCCGTGCCCCATGGCAGGCCTGGGGGCCTGAGTCAGACATGGGGATGGGTGGTGGAGTAGGAGTCCCTGCAGTATGGCAGCCAGGGCTGGGCACCTGGACCAACCCAGGGAAGCCCCTTCCACGGAGCAGGCCTCTAGCCGGGATCCATGTGCCACGAAAATTCATGAAAAGTCAGAGTTTGTGTCCTGACTGCCTATGCCGCTGCCCGGCCAGCCCACCTCCCAGGATAGGTCCCCAGGAGCCACTGACCTCCCCCTCATCCTTGGTGAGCAGCTGGGCGCAGCTGAGGAAGTCCTCATACCTGGCGAAGGGGACCACAGGCTCGGGGAGCTCCCGCAGGTAGAGCTTCAGCAGGGAGGCCACCGTGTGCACGTCCGTGGTGCTAAGGGTGAGAAGGGACAAGTATGAGGCCGGGGACACCAGGGAACTGCAGGAGTGACCAGCACCTCCACCCCCCCAGGGGCAGTCTCTGCTCTCAGGCCCGTGTGTGCACACGGGGGCTGCATAGGCAGCCGACGGCTCCGGTCAAGGAAGGCCCGGCTGCTTCCCGGAGCACCGGCCGGGCTGCCAGGGCTGCAGAGGAAGACCAAGGCCCTGTGGCTGGGAGCTCCAGCTCCCCTGAGTCCCACGTCTCTGTCAGTCTGACAGGGACAGCACCTCTCCGCCAGGGTGGATGCTCTGGGCCAGGGGGCACGCAAGACCTGTGTAGCTCGCAGGGGAGGGCCTGGTGGGAGCAGATGTGCGAGCCGCCTCTCCCTGGGGTGGGAACAGCTGTCCTGCAGGCCCCACTAGGTGCTGTTCCAGCTCAGCCTGCATCTGCTCTCCTGGGCTCGCCCTTGGCTGGACGTGGGGAGCTGTGCCAAAGGCACCCGCCACGCAGAGCTGCCGGCTCCTTGGTGGAGAGCAGGTGTCTGGGCACTGGCCATCAGGGGCAGGTTAGAGGTCAGGCCCGTTCCCCAGACCCTGGGCTCCTGTGCTCACTGCCCCACTCCAGCACCCCAAGTCCACTCCAGGCCTTGGTCTCCTGCTCTGGGAGCCACCCAGCTGAGGATGGTGGGGCCCGGACCTAGATATTCTCCCTCCCTGGGTGTGTCCAGGACGCAGGGAAGCTGGGCTCTGCGGTTCAGTGCCCATGCTGGATGCATCCCAAGCCATATCTGGGCCCCGGTAGCTCATCTGTTTGTCTAAGGCCCTGGATGAAAATCCTGGACCTGCACCTGCCGCAGGGGAGGAACTCAGGAAAGGTGGGCCTGGGGCCAGGAGACCTCGCTGTGCCACTGATGTGTGACGTGGCCCTGGCCGAGTCCCATGCTGGTGTGTCCATTCTGCCCTGACATTTGGGACTCTGGGGTTTCATAGGCCCATGTGCACCCCACATCCACACACCTGGGGCCCTTCCCTGCCTCAAGCCCAGTGGCTCTTGACCCCTGGGCCCCAGCCAGGCATGCCCCTGCTCACACCTCCACTGCCTTCTCCCAGGTCGCCTTCTCTGCCCGCACCTCTGGGTGCCTACAGCCCCTTCCCCACTGGGGCCCCTCGTGTTCCACAGCAGCCTCTGTATAAGCCGGAACCAGGAGAGGAGGGGGAGGGACAGCAGCCAGGTCATCAGGTTTGCCCTGTAGAGGGACAGGTGCCAAAGCAGAGAAGCGTGGGCAGAGCCGGCAGCATCCCTCATCTCCCCACTGCTGCAGGTGGCCTGCCCTGGGCACGTGGGTGCAGGCAGAGCGGTCCCTCCATGCTGCGGACCTCCCTGCCACATCCCTGCCTGGAGCCCACTCCACAGCCAGGGCCCTGCAGAGTCCTACTGCTCAGCCCCACCCCCCACGCCCCTAGATCTCCACTGTCTGCTTCCCAGCTCCTGCAGGTGCCTGTGCTGCGAGCCCGCCCCTGCCCCCACAGCCGCCATGAACCCAGGCCTCCCCACCCGCCAGCACCCCAGGATGACGCTCCACAGCCTGTGCCCCACGGCATCCAGCTGGGTGGATGCTGCGTGGGGGAGGGGTGGGGCAGCAGCTGGTCAGTGGATGCAGGGCCTGGCCTGGCCGATTCTGCCACCCTCCTGTCAGCCAGTGAGGCACTCAGCCTCAGCCGTGGCGCCTCTTCAGTCCCAAGGGCCCCTCGCTCATGCCAACACGGGCGTCCACCTACAGCACGGCCCCAGCCTCCTGCCGCGCCCACCACCTTACTGTCCTAGAACCCACTGTCCCCTCTGCAGCCTGGCCCACACTCCCCGTCACCCATTTCCCTCCTCTGCCTGGCCCAGGCCCGCCTCCCGCCTCACTGGCCTCTCAGAGCCAGGAAGCGCCCACCCTGGCCTTCTGGAAGGGCCTGGGCCTTCTCGGAGCTCCTACCTGGGAGCCCCACCCAGCCTGCAATGCCCTGTGTTAAGTCCTGACTGCCAGGGCCGGTCCCGGCTCCCCCGACGTGTCTGCCTGTTTGGGCTCCCTTAGCATGTCGCTTCGCAGGGCACTCTGCCCACTCCTCGCCTCCCCAGGACTCCTGCCCCAATGGACAGGAGGTGAGTGAAGTTGAAGAAAAAGGGTTGCTGCCAGGACTCCATGGAGTGCCGAGGGTCTGGCACAGAGGAGACCCTCCTTGGTGCTCAGCAGTAACGTGGACAGCCCGGGAGAGCTGCCAAAGCCCAGCCTGGGGCAGTGGTGGGAGGGGCAGGAACAGGACAGCTGGGGTCACTGAGGCTTCCAGGCCTGGTGGGGGTTTTATGGGGGAGGGGCCCAGGACTTTGGGCTGGAGGGGATGTTCTTACGGAGGTATGCAGGGAGGTGAGGAGGCTTCCTGGGGAACGGGGGCCAAGGATGAAAGTCGACACCCCAGCAGGTGGCAGGCTGGAGTCTGGGAGAGCTCCCTTCTGGGACTCTGCAGGTGGGCACAGCCACAAGGCCAGAGGAGCTGCCACAGAGGAGGCAGAAAGCAGGACAGGAAGGCCTCAGATACCCCAGAGGAGCTTCTAATGGGAGAGGGCACTGCAGCCCAGGACGGCTGTGGGGTGTGGGGGTCACTGCTGAGAAGGTGGGGTGGGGGGACAAGCTTGGAGATGGGCCTCCAGACACAGGCCCTGAAGAGCAGGAGTGGCCAGGCAGGAAGGCAGACAGGAGAAGGCACGTCCAGGAAGCAGGGACAGCCCGCCCCACACTGCTAAGAGCCCAGGGGTCAGGTCTGTAATCTGGGGTACAGAACACCCTGTGGGGGGCCAGCAGGTGGGCAAGGCAGGGAGGGCAGCCAGGCTGAGCACATGGAGAATGCGCACAGTGGCGTGTCAAGTGGAGACATGGCCTGGTGGGAGAGGCTTAGCCAGCCTGCAGCCACCGCACACAGCTCCGGTGGAGTTTAAGTAGGGCAGTGGCGAGGTCTGCTCTGCGTCTGCAGGCACCCTTCACGTGCTATCATCAGGCACCAGGGCAGTGCATCTGATCCTGGGAGCTTCTAAAAGTCCATGTTCTCAGGCCCTGCCCATGTGGCATCATTTGAAGCAATTTCCAACCCTAAGTTACTTGGAGCCACATAGGCACAGGAAGGAAGAGATATGGCTGGCAGAGGGTCGGAGTGGACCACAAGCTCCCTGAGAGTCAGCCCTGGGATGGAGCTCAGGAGGCTGGAGCTGAAGGGACCCTGTGCCCTGGGCTCCACATCTAAGGGAAGTACCTGACCAACTCTTGTAGCTGTGGCGGGGGGTCTGGGGAGGAGCTGGATGGACGGGGAGGTTCTGCCCTGGGAGGCCCTGGCTGCCTGTGAGTGGCAGCCAGGCCCTGGTGGCCGGTCCTGGGGCACAGGTGGGCCTCATCTGTGAGGGCAGATCTGAGGAGAAAGGACAGAAGCTCCACGGAGGCTAGAGTTGGCTTGGTGCAGAAAGAACTTTCTATGGAAAACGGCCCCCCAATGGATGGGGTGCTGTCAGGGAGAAGAGAGCCCCCAAACAGCCCTGGGGTGGGGAAAAGCCACGGCTCCCCCACTTGCAGCTCCTGGGCCGTGAGTACAGCTGACCCCACCAAGGCAGGGCCCCGAGGCCGGGGTAAGTCCCTTATGATGGATTAGGAGGCTAATGGCCCCAGGACAGGTGGAGGAGATCTGCCTCCTGTCCCTGAGATCTGAGGGCATGGCGAGCTGCTGCACCGTCCTGGCACCGACAGAGCCTGGGGGGAGTCGCCCAAGGAAGCACAGCCCAAACACAGACCTCGCAGGAGCCTGGAGTGCTGGATACAGCCGTGCCTGAACCGCTCCAGCACAGCAGCCGGCAGGGCCCTGTTTCTGCAGGGTCAGGGTGGTGGGCGTGTGCGCGGAAGCTGCCAGAATGGCTGTGAGCCGCTGGGCTTGTGGCAGGCATCACCCTGAGAGGAGACCTAGGGCTGCCGGAGTGAGCTTGCGGCCTGTGCTCTGCCCGCCAGGAGGGCGGCGAGCGCCGTGTGCCAGCGCGGGCAGCCATCCCGCCCACGTCCTGTTGCCCAGCCTCCTGGGTGGCCCGCCCGCCACTGGAGCTGGAGCTCTGGGCAGGAGCCCTGCAGGGGCTCCATCACTGTCCCCTGCCCCGAAGCTCACCTGTCAAACAGCGGCTTCTCTCCACAGTCAAAGGAGTCCTGCAGGTCCCTCACCAGGTTGGCCTGGCCCGGCATGCGGAAGAGCCCCTCCTCGGCGAGCCCGCGCTCCCGGATGAAGTCCACACACTGCTCCACCAGCAGCGGGGCCAGGCGGGGGCCGTACTTCCGCTCGTGGCGCACCGTGTCCTCCAGGCGCTGCCCAAAGATCCCTGGGCACAGAGAGGAGCTGGTCACACCCTCGCCCCCCGCTGTGTGGGCCAGAAGGCACCTGGGGCCAGGGAGGCAGTGCTGCTGTTGGGGCCCGGGAAGCCCATCGCAGGCGGGGAGGACGCGACAGAGAGCAGGCGGAGCCGTGGCGCGTGGCCTGGCCCGGCCTGAGCTCCGAGCCAGGACGCGGTGCTCAGGGCGCGGGCGCCACGCCGTCCACCCGTCTGCAGACGCTGCAGGTGGGCGCCGTGGACGCCCCGGCGGCGGCAGGTGAAGCGACGCCCGCGAGCGCTGGGGAAGGCGGAGCAGCCCGCGCGCACCTGCCGCACCTGCCGCACCTGCTGCACGCGGGGACGGCGCTGCCGCGGGAGCCGGAGAGCGGCCCCTCAGACACTGAAAACAGGGTTCCCGTCCGCGCGCCAGGAGCCCGCTTCTGGGTTCACAGCAGCGAAAGCCGCGTCCTGACGAGACTGGCACACGCACGCTCACCGCGCCGCGGCTCGGGCAGCCCCCGCGCGGACGGGCGGGCGCAGGGGCTGCGGGCACGGCGACGGGCTGGGCTCAGCCTTCCAAGGGACAGGCACCCCGGCACCTGCTACAACTTGGATGGACCCGGAGAACGTGACGTGAGCAAACCACGCACACACGGACAGGCACCGTGCGAGCCCACTCAGGAGGAACGCACAGCGACAGAGTTCAGCAAGGCGGAAGTGCAGGGCGCCGGCGGGGGCTGGGCCGGAGACCCGCGTTAGCATTTCACGGGCGGAGTGGCGGTTTCGCAAGGTGAAAAGGGTTCTGGAGGTGGACGGTGCTGATGGGTGTGTGACAATCTGAATGACCTTAATGTTGCAGAACTGTATACTTTAAAATGGCGAAGACAGTCAATTTCGTTAGGTGTGTTTTATGAACATTAACAAATAACAAATAACAAAAATTGAAAAACAAAAAACATAATCAGAAGCAAAAGAAACCAGACCCCGGCCACACCCTGCCACCCCATTTCCGTGAAGGTAAGCAGCAGGCCAAACTATCTGCGCTGTCAGGCCAGGACATAGCCACCTTGGTGGGTCAGTGAGCAGAAGGGGCCTGGGGACTTCTTGGGCACCAGTAACGCTGTCTCAGGACACTGCTGACCCAGTCCCCTTCACCTTTAGAAAAATTCACTGTGCAGCATGCTACACTTCAGTAACACTTTCAGTAACAGTTACTTCAGTAACAGGGAGGGAGGGAAGAAAAGGAAGGAAGGAAGGAAGGAAGGGAGGGAGGGAGGGAGGGAAAGGAAGAAGAGAGAAAAGGATGCAAAGCACTGGACACAGGACAGGAGGGCAGATGAGGGACAGAGGTAGAGAAGAAGAAGGCAGATTCCACCATGCAGGGGCTGCTTTAAAATAAGACCTGTCAGTCCCGGCCGGATGCGGTGCCTGGCACAGGGCTGGACACGGCGAAGTCTCCTCCCCTGCCCAAGACACAGTGCATAGAACTTGGGGAATGCAGACTCCTCCCTTCAAGAAAACTCACCCATGTGGGCCATGCCTGGTGGATGCCATCAGTGCTTCAGGGAGAAGTGTGAGTGCACGTGTGTTTGTGCACATGTGCTGCATGTGCCCGTGTGTGCATATATGCATATGTGTGCATGAGGGCTTGCATGTGGGCTTGTGTATACACATGTGCATGTGCGTGTGCATATGTGTATATGTGCACATGTGGGCTTGTGTGCGTGCATATATACATGTGTGTGCGTGTGGGCTTATGCATGTGCATATATGCATGTGAGGGGCTTGTGTGTGTGCATGTGTGTGCATGTGGGCTGTGTGTGTGTGCATGGGCATGCACATGTCAGGGGTGTGTGTGTGAGGAGAGTGTGTTGAAGTGGCTAACATGTGGCTAACACATGGTGCTCCGGTGCCAGGCGCTGTTCTGAGCACACTACACACTGCCCTATATTTAATCCTACACAGCTTGTTACCTTAGGACTATTACTTTCATCATCATCCTCATCTTGACTTCTCAGATGAGCAAAGTGAGAGGCAGAGGGGTTTAAGAACACGCCCAAGCTCTCTCCGCATGTGGCAAGGTCAAGGTTCAAACCAGGCAGTCAGGCTCCAGGTGTGGAGAATGTTCTAGGCCACACTGCCACTTGCCCTCACACTGGTGTGCACACACCTAAGTGAGGCGTCTGCCACCCAGCCCTGCTCCCCTGTTGCTCCCTAGCAGTCCCTAGGACGTGGGTATCTGGGCCACAGGCAGAGGCGCAGAGGCTGCGGCCCTGACAAGGAGAGGAGGCGCCGCCCCTGCCCCCAGGGTGGGCCCAACGGGTCAGTCAGCAGCCTTGAGCACAGCGTGGGGCCTGCTGGCCACCCGGGGTAGCTCTGAGAAGCTTGTCCATGGAGGCCCCAGGGCCACCACTCACTGTGTCCTGGCCTCTCCACCTGCTCTGGGGACACCGAGCCCCTGCTCCCTCTCACCTCGCTCAGAGCTCAACAACCCACACCCAACAATGCACCACGTGGGTCTGTCCAGAGATGTGCCTATTTAGCTCATAGGATGTTTGAAACATTTTTAAATTAGTTATTTAAGACCAAGAGATTTCATATAAAATCTGGATTCCCAGCTTCTCCTGAAAAGCCTGCAGATAAGGTGGCACAGGCCTGAGTTCCCAGATGGCAACGCTGGTGGAGCTCAGTGGCCTCTGTGCCCTGTGAAAGCACACACAGTGCCACTCTCTGCAGTGCCCACCACTCCTGCTGCCTCCCACCTGGTGCACACTCCACCCACACGGCCGGCCAGCTGTTCATTCCCCTCTTCCGCTCTGACCTCTGGGGCACAGCCTTCCCCCAAGGACACTGGGGTCAGGATAAGTGGGGAAGGGGTCCTGACCCACAGAAGGTAGACCTGGGAAGCCATGCCTGTCATGACGTGGGGCACCTGCTAGGACCTCAAATGAGCAGGTAGAGGACATGGGGCACCGGGGAATGCCCACAGGCAGAGGGTCCCAAGCGGGGAGGGGCCTGCTTCCTGCCTCCCTCCGTACTCACACACGCACACACACGCCTTCCCTGCAGCTGCACCCACTACCTGGGTGTCAGGACTGCACCTGCATCTGCACTGCCAGGCCCGTGCATGGGCCTCTTTCCTCTCCAGTCTGTGCAGATTTGCTACCAGCGCTTGGAAACAGCTTGGGCATCTCTCATATACAGCTGTCCCGGTCCTCCGCCCAGCATCCTCTCCTCTGTCGCATCCCGGCTGCCATCCTCACAGACAGTTTCAGGAAGCTCCCTTCTGCTGGGTCCCTTGAGTGCCCGGGGTCGCCTCCCTCTCTCCAGTGCCGAGCCCATGCTGGAGTGGAGGGAACATGCCGTCCAGGGCCATCTCCCATCCCCAGTCACTGCACTCAGCTCCCTACCCTCAGCTCTTAGGGGACTGAAGGCCACAGCTGGAGAAGAGACACCAAGGAAAAGAATTCCCAGTTCTCTCCGGAGACCCACAAAGCTTGGTAATGCCACCCAGCCTCCTTTTGGCTCCAGCCCTTCCTGCTCTCCCACCTCCTGTCCCCAGGACACCGGCCAGCCATCTGTCCAGCCATCTGTCCATCACTCCTGCACTCTGCAGCGCCCTGCCTGGGTCCCAGGGAGCTTTAGAGCTGCTCCAAGGGCTGTAAACACAGAAATCACCCCAGGCCTCCCTTGCCAGAAACCCTCGGCTGCCCACGCTCAGGATAAAGCCGAAATTGGCAGCAAGGCTCGGCCCCACCTCCCTCCACCAGCTGTAAGTGCAGAGCCTGGGCCAGCCTGGCTGCCACACCACACCCGACCACAGGTCCCAACCCGAACACAACCACTGCCTCCTCCAGGAAGCCTTCCTAACCACTCTGCCTGCACAGGGCTGTGAGAGCCAAGGAAGGGAGACCACAGGGCACTGGGCGCTTTTAAAGAAGCGAGTTTTCAGGGAAAAGGTAATGTTAGAACCAAGATCTAAAAATGAGCAGGAGGTAGGCAGGGTGGGGGGCGGGGCTGAGGGAGCGTGGTTGGGGACACGGCAGCACCCTGCCCTGGAAAGGCCCAGGGACCATGGTGAGCATTGGCCCATATGTCCCTCAGGTGCCCAGAGGCCCTCCAAGTGCCGAGCTTCTGCCTGGCATGGGGGTTGGGCTGGGTGTGGGTGGGGGACGTGCAAGGCCAAGAGCCATGGTGAGTCTGCACCAGCACTTGTCTGGGGGCATGTCCTGGCTAAACCACTGAAGAGTAGAGGGGCCCCTTTCCTATGCTTCAGTCTCTCCATCTAGAAAATGGGATGATCACACCCGTCTTTAGAGGCTGCTACGAAGACCACCAGAGGACCACGAGGCCCTGCCCCCTGGCACTGCCAGGCCCCGGGACTGACCCCATACTCCCAGCACAGCTCCAAGTGGAAGCTTGTGCAGCCTTCAGGTGTGCGCTGCCCCTCCCCCAAGCTTGGAGGGGAGCCCTATGGGGAGCGCAGGGGAATCTTCAGAGGCTTCCTTCCCGGCTCCCTCCTGCAGGGGGCAGCCTGTGCTCAGGCTTCAGGGCCTGGCCTCCCTCCCAGGGGCCCTGCCCCCCACTCCCCTGGCCAGGGTCTCTACAGCGGAGCCTGGCAGGGTCTGGCCCCACTGTGCTGGAGCCCTCCTGGCACATGTCGGAGACGGGAGCCTTGCCAAGAACCAGCTCCAATCGGCTTGTCAGCTCCCTGGAAACCCAGCCAGCATGTGGTTCCTCGAGGTCCCAGCCCACGCTCTTCACAGAGCACCGGCTCACCACCAGAGGAAACTGCCAGAGGCTGCCTCGCCTCTGGGTGAACTTGCTGCCAGGCCTCCTCCCCTGCCAGCAGCTCCCTGGCAAAGCCGTCCCCGCTCCCCTCTCCTGGGAATCCCAGTCAGCTGGCTCAGATCCCTGTCCTCGGTGACCCTGGGCACCACCCTCCACCTCTCTGAGCTGGGGTCAGCCACTTCATGGGGTTGTGAGGGCCCACAGGAGACAGCAGCACGCTGGGCACACTGGAGCAGGTGCTAAACACACCTGGCTTTCTCCTGACCCTGGAGGGCCCACTGGGCCAGGCGCTGCGTCCCGAGTCCCGCCCCTGGGCCCCAGCAGGAAAGGGAGGCCCCGGGATTCCCCCTGGAGCTGAGCCCGAGCAGAGCACAGGTCCGCCCTGGCCATGCCGCCTGCTTTCGGCTCTTTCCAGTAGAGGGCAAGGTCGCAGTCCCAGGAAAGGCACAAATTCTAAATTTCTCCCTGGAAATTCATAAACTTTGGGTAGTTTCCCTCTTGGCTCCAGCCTTTCCTGCTCTCAGTCCCCTGTCCCTGAGACACGCGCCATCCTCTGCATCCACCCACCCTTTGCCCGTTTGCAGGTGCAGGGTGACCTACCTTCTGTCACTTCCAGGCTCTGCTCTGGGTACTAGAGAGCAGCAGAGCTGACCCAGGGCTGCCAGCCTCCGGATTCCACCCTGGTGGTCCCCCCAGACCCTTCCCTGCCTTCCCCCATCCAGGCCCGCAGGAAGACAGGACAACCATCTTGGTTGGGGGCGAGGGGGGGGCAGGGGACACCTGCCCGGAGCCAGCCCGGCCTCAGGGTAGAAGTGATTCCCTGCTACTCCTACTCGGGGTGGCTGGCCCGGCGCGCACTGGCACAGCGGCGTCCAGGGGCCCCGGGAGGCTCCGACCGACCGGTAGTGGCGTGGGGAGGGTCCTCTGCAACCCGCCCCCTCCCAGACTCAGCGTCCAGGAGAGCAGAGGCGGCGTCCCCGGACGCCGGGCTCCTAGAACGGCCGCCGCGACACCCCAAAGCCCCGGCCCCAGCTGAGCCCCGCAAGACGCATGCGCGGCGCTCTCCTCGCCCGCCGCCGGTCGCGGTTCGAGCGCCTCTCGCCGCCCGGGACGCCGCTTCCCGGCCGGGGGCGCCCTACCTGGGGCGGCGGGCGCGCAGCAGGCGGGCAGGCCAGGGCGGCCGCGGCAGGCGCGGCGCGGGAGAAGGCCGCGCGGCCGGCATCAGGCCACGGCGCCCCCCGGGCGCGGCGGGCGGCGGCTGAATGCCCGGCACGCGCGCAGGTAGCGTCTTGCCCGCCGCCGCCCGCCCGACCGCGCCGCCCCGGGCCCGGACCCCGGGGCGAGGGAGGGCCGGGATTTGCCTGGGATGCCACGCCCGGAGTCGGCTGGTGGTGGAAGAGCTCAGTTTCAAACGTCCGACCCTTTCCCTAATTAGGCACCGCAGGCCTCCCTTCCTCTTTGCGGAGGACCGGCAGTAGGAGCGTCCACTCGGCCCCCTGCGAGGTGTTCCAGGTGGGCGATATCGGCCCAGGAAGGGTAGGTAACTGGATCTGGGTCCCCGGGCCAGCGGCCTGCTGAGCCGGCATCAAAAGCTAGGCTGCTGGCTTCCGAGTCGGCTGGGGCTCCAGGCCCCGGGGCGCGCCCGCCTAGGCAGCACCCTAGTGCCAAGGAGGTGGTTTGGACTCAACACACGGTATCTCCTTGAGCAGCCCTGAGAGTAAGTATTGACTCCCCACTCGGTTACGGGGTTTGCCCAAGGCCACACCTCTGGTGAGTGGTGGGTCTTCATTCAGACCTAAACTGGCTTTCTGTGAAGCCCACGCTGTCCTCAGGGCGGGACTGGGAGCCAGCCCGCAGTCCCACGCCTTCTAGGTGTTCTGCCCTGGGGGAGGGAGGTCTGGAAGAGGGACACAGCACACACCAGGAGGGCAGGTGGGCAGAGGCAACGCTGGGGGCTGTGCAACCACGGCAGGGGGACAGGGGGCCCAGGGCAGAATTCTGGAAGGCAGGGACCTACGGGTCCTGGGGCTGGAAGGGGTGGGGCCCACCTTCAAGCCTGCGTGCAGGGCTGTTGGCCTCTTGCTCCTTCTAAGGGGAGCCTGGCCTGGGGTGGGGCAAGAGCAGTGCTCAGCAAAGGTGCAAAATGTAAGGGATACCCAAACCTCAGTAAGCAAGATAAATATTTTATCGCATTATGTTAAGAATAAAAATTAAGGCAAAAAATCCATGATGAACAAAATATCAAAATTTGAAATAAAGACAGGATCGGCCTCTGCACTTGTACCGACCTTGAGCGTCTCGCTGCACGCACCCTGTCTTTATTTCCAATGTTCGTATCTTGTTATCATGAATGTGATCGGCTGAATAAATAGTGCCCTCTCCCCAGGATGTCTCTGTCCTTTTCCCTGGCCCCCGCGACTATGCTACCACACACTGTACAAGGGACTTTGTGGGCGCTAGGGCTGCGTGAGCCAGTGTAATCATGAGGGTGTTAGAAGAAGGTGGCGAGGTGGGGGGACGGTCGTGGAGACTGAAATGTCAGACCCAAAGCCTCTCGGCGGGAGAGGCAAGGACCAGATTCTGCCATAGAGCCCTCAGAAGAAACAGCCCTGTGGACACCTTGATTCCAGCCCCAGAAGATTCCATTCCGACATCTGATCTCTAGAACTGGAAAATAATAACTTTGTGTTGTTTCAGGCTGCTAAATTTGCGGCAATTTGTTAGAGCAGCAATAGGAACCTAGTATAATAGATAGTTTTTGCATCAATTTTCATTTGAAAAATACTACCACAAAATATTTATCTTGATTACTCAGTTCTTTGCTACCCCCTTAAATTTTGTGCCCCAGGCCAGGGAAGCTGCCTAGTCTTGGCCCTGACACTAAGTATGGGTGGGTGACACTCAGTTTTTTTCCTTCCCAGAGTTCAGGTAAATGTGAAGGTGGAAAGGGCAGTTCATGGTGCCCTAAACCTACCAGCAAAGCTTGGGTGTCCCCATGGCCCAGGGACCTGCCCAGGCTGAACAGCCCTGTCCATGCTAAAGAGAAGGGGCTAAGGGCTCAGTAGAGGCACCTGCCTTCGCTGGGTGCAGGTGGGACCCTCAGGGGCAGGAGAGCTCTGCCACTGACTTGCTTTCTCCCCTCCGGGCCTTGGTTCCCCACCTGTGTGGTCCGAGTTAGACCTGCCAGTCTAACCCTCCCCACCCAGGCTCCGCAGACAGATGGAGGTCTGCCTTGTGCCCGTTCAGGAAGCTCCCACTGAAGCCCTGGCCTGCTGCACCCACTCCACCTTGGGGACAGGTTCGCGGTGTTAGTCACTAAACTGCCCCTTTGGGGCAGGGCCGGGGAGCTGAGAACCTGAGGGTCTGTCCTCTCACACAAGCAAAAGTGACAGCTGACCTCTTTGGTTTGGGTGGCCCTCATCCCTGAGCTTTGTGTCCAACAGGCCCTGGGTTGGGGCTGGCGTCCAGGACCTCAGGGACTGTCTCTGCCTTCAGTCTTAATTATACACTCCCCTATGACCCCGTTGAGAAAACTCAGATCCAAAAGGCATGGTGCCCTGAGGCCTACTGACAATAGCATCCACAGATGGACTTGCCCTCAGGGGCTGCCCCTGCTCCCAGCCCCACTGTGTGTTGTTAGGCAAGTTGCTGAACCTCTCTGGGCTTGCCCCTCCAGAGCGTATTAAACCTAGAGCAATAGTAGTCCATGGCAAGTATGAGCTCCCTCCCTTTGTCTAAGAGTAGTGTGGGCTGAAGTCCTTCAACGCTGCCTGGAACAAGCTGGAAGCCAGAGATCCCAACCACAGGACACCCTGAGGCCTCCTGGCATCTCTAGAGCAGGCACCTGGGCTCTGGGCACCAGCAGGCCTAGGTTGGCACATCAGCTTCCCACTTACTTTGCGACCTGGACAAATCACTAGAGCCTTCCTGCTGTTGTCTCCTCATCTGAAAGGGGACTGATGTCACGGGGCTATTGGCAGGCTCAGTAGGCATGCAGAGCCCAGCACGGGAAACACTGGGATCACCAGGAGTTTGTTCCATCTCAGCACTAACTGGAGCAAACTCTTTTCTGGCACTGTGATCTAAGCTCCATCTAGCACAAACTGAAGCGAGGCTGGCTGAGCTGACGGCCAGTTCTCATCACAGCTGCCGGAAGGGAAGGACTTAACGAACCAGCAAGATGGTTAAAGGCAGTTGAACAGTTAGTGTCCTGAACTTTGCAGGAAGTGGTGGTAAGCAGCCCTCTGTCAATCATCCCAGCCGCCTTGCCAGGCTCTCTCTCAAGATAAGGCAGCAATTCCGGCTCTTGTTCTCCTGGTAAACAGCTGGCCAACAGCCTCCATGGCAGCTCGTCAGCAGGGCTGTAGCTGGAGGTCATTTCCCCTCCTTGGGGGTCCAAGCTCTTAGGCTCCTGGGGCTCTTGTAGAAAGAAGCCTTGAGGGCTGCAGGGAAGGAGCCCCAAGGGTGTTGTGAACCAGTCCCTACACCCAGAAGAGGCCACACCTGCCCTCTATGAGCCTAGGCAGGGTCCAAGGCCTATGGGAACATCTCTTCCTTCACTTGGGCATGTGGACCCTCAGGGCCCACTAGAATAGGTAGGGGCACCATAATTGGGCTCAGGTGTCCCTCCTGTTGGCTTAGTGACCTGAAGCCCAGCCAGGGTCAGCAACAGTCCTTTCTCTTCCTTTTGGAAGGGCTGCCAAGAAAGACCACAAGCAGGTTGACATTCGTAGGAACTGGAGATAAGACTCTTGTCTTGAATCTCCCAGCAGGGCTGGGCGGGTATGGATCAAGCAGTGCTGGGAAGAAGTGGTCCATTAGGAACTCAGGCTTCACCGCTGCCAGCCTGGCCTGGGTCCAGTGACCTTTCACTCTGAATCTGATTGTGCCTCCAGGGCTTCTATTTGGAAATGTCACTCCAGCCAATGATCACCACTGCCAGCTGCCTAACAAGGTTGCTTTATGTCCTGCCAAGTTGTCCCAAGGCTGGATTTTTTTCCATGTCAAGTGTCCTGCCCTGTGGCCTCAGGGAGCTGTATCTGTTCCCCTTTCCTTCCCACGAGCAAGACAGTCAGCTCCTAGCGGTCAGAGTCAAGTCCCCAGAGGCCCGTGAGAGCGATGCACAGCCCGTCGAGCAGGCTTGGGCACTGCAGGTCCAATGGCCTCTGCAGGCCTACTGCCTGGCGCCTTGTGCCCCTTGTGTTGTGGTCACTCCAGGCAGGGACACCATTTCGAAGCTGGGCTCCTTGCCCAGGACTGCTGCTCTGTGCTGCCCCCGGGAAGGCTGAAACCAACAGCTTCTGGGCTGTGCTTGGTGGTGCCCAAGGTCCCGTAGGTGGAACAGTTAGCACACTACTAGTTATTGAGCTCTAACCCCAGCCCCCAGACTCCTATCCAGCTGCCCACTCAGCATCTCCACTGCTTTAATGACTCCAGGACACCTCAGACTCGGACGAGTTCAAACAGCTATGGTCTTGCCAGACTCCCAGACCTGCCCCGTGCCGAGTCCTCCACTCTCAGTCCATGACAGCTCTGTCCTCTAGCCGCCAGCACACACCCTGGAGTCAGCCTTCACCGCTCCCTCCTCACACCCACATCCAGGAGAGCTTCTGGGTCCTACTTGCAAAGCAGATTTGGGATCTGATCACTGTCACCCCCTCCGCAATGACAGCACCCCCCCTCTTGTCTGGATGACTGCAAATATGTTTCCGGCTTCCCCTTGCTCCTCCAGGGCCAGCAGTCAGAGCTGTCCTCAAACTATGTATCCTCTGCTCAAAGCCCTCCATGCCCGCTCCCGTTCCACCTGAGAGTGGAAGCCAGGGTCCTGACGGGCACAGGAGGCCTCTGCTTTCTGGTTCCCACCTGTCCCCCCTCCCTCGCACCCTCCAGCCTCCCTGCCTCTGCTCTGGTTCTAGAACATATCAGATGTTCTCCCACTTTTGCCTTTGCCGGAGCTGTGACCTCCATGTGGCACACTTCCACCAGATGTCCTTGTGGCTCACTCTCTAACCTCTTTCAACACTCTGTCTGAACAATGGGATACCACTTCATACCCACTGGAATGGCTGTTATAAAAACAAAAACAGAAAACAAAAACTGTTGGTGAGGATATGTAGACACTGGAATGCTGTACATTGCCAATGGGAATATAAAATGGGACCACCACTGTGGAAAATGGCATGAAGATTCCTCAAACACTTAAAAATAAAATTGTCATATGATCCAGCAATCCCACTTCTAGGTATATACCCAAAAGAATTGAAAGCAGCAACTCAAAGGGATGGCTGCACACTGATACTCACAGCATTATTCATAATATCTAAAGCGTGGAAGCAACCCAGTGCCCATCACAAGATGAATGGGTAAGCGAAAGGCAGTGTGTCCATACAATGTCAAATTATGTGGCCTTAAAATGGAGGGAGATTCTGACACATGCTACAACATGGATGGAACTTGAGGACATCAGGCAAAGTGAAATAAGCCAGTCTGAGAAGGACAGATTCTGTACGATTACTCATAGGAGGAACTTAGAGCAGTCAAATGGATAAAGACAGAAAGTAGGATGGCAGCTGCCCAGGGTTGGGGGAAGGAAGGAATGGGGAGTCACCATCTAATGGGGACAGAGTTTTGGTTTGGGAAGGTGAAAAGTCCTGAGATGGATGGTGGTGATGGCTGCACAGTGCTGTGAATGTGCTCAGTGCCACTGAAATGTCCACCGAACACTCTCTCTGCTGTGTCCTCTGCCTGCACATGACAGGTGCTCAATGAGCATTTTTTGAATGAGTAAAGACTACTTAGTGCTGAGAGAGTGCTGAGCATTATATGCCCATTTTCTCTCTTAATTCTATGACAATTCTATAAAAAAAAGATGCTATTTTTCCCATTTTGCAAACAAGGACTCTGACGGTAGGAGGTGTGCCCAGGGTCACACAGAAAGCAAGTGAGAGAGGCAGAACACACCTAGACCCAAGCCTGTTGCCAAAGCCTCACCGGCCTCCTCTCACACTTCAGTGTAGTGGGTTTGGCGAAGTCCCTTCCTATGCACAGAAATTCCAGGCTTTGAGGGCCTTGCAGATCTCTCCAGAGCCAGGCAAGGAAGGCACATGCTCAAGCACCCACCAGATGCCAAGGCAGCCGTGGGAATCCCCTGACTATTGTCCCCATTCTCTCTCCTCTCAGAAAGAGCTGGCAAGGAGGTGCTGCCCCATGTGTCCTCCTGTCATTTTCCCTGATCTGGGCATGGAAGTTCAGAGATCAGTTGGGGGAGTGTTGGTCTCTTAACAACATCAAGTCTTCCCATGAACATTTCCACTTATTTAGGTCTTCTTCAATTTCTTTCAACAATGCTTTGTTATCTTCAGAGTATAACTTCTACGCTTCTTTTGCTAAATTTATCCCTAAAGTTTTTTAGTCTTTTGGTTGTTACTGTAAATGAAATTTTCTTAATTTCATTTTCAGTTTGCTCATGGCTAGTATACATATATACAATTGATTTGTATACATGTATATCCTGCAACCTTACTGAATTTTGTATTAGTTCTAATAGTTTTTTATATTACTTCTAATAGTTTTTTTAGTGGATTTCTTAGGATTTCTTAGGATTTTCTCTACATAAGATCAAGTCATCTGCAAGTAAAGATACTTTGATATGTTCTTTTCCAATCTGCTGCTTTATTTTTTTCATTATCTTGCCTAATTGCCTTGGCTAGAACCTCTAGTACGATGCTGAATAGAAGAAGTGATGGCAAGAATCCTGTCTTGTCCTTGATCTTGGAGGAAAAGCATCCAATCTTCCTCTATTAAGTATGATGTTATCTGTGGGGATTTTGTAGATGGCCTTTATTAGGCTAAGTTCCCTTCTATTCCTAGTTTTTGGAGTGTTTTATCATTAAGTGGTGCTGGATTGTATCAAATGCTTTTTCTGAGCCTACTAAGATGATCAGGTGTTTCTGTCCTGTATTGGTGTATTACATTAATTGATTTTCAGATGTTAAATCACCCTTGCAAATCTTGGGATAAATCTCATTTGGTCATAGTGTATAACTCTTTGGATTCAATGTACTGTTAGTATTCTGTTGATGATTTTTACATATATATCTGAAGAGATATTGGTGCTCTAGCAATAATTCTCTCTCCTACCTGCACTGTCAATCTTTTGCAATGCTGTTTGGTCTTCCAACTTAAAAAATAAACAGACTCCCTTTACCTGACTTTGCCCTCCAGCTGGTGTCCCTTTTCTTTCTTTTTTTTAATTTTAGCATATTATGGGGGTACAAGTGTTAAGGTTACATATATTGCCCATGCCCCCAGGTGTCCCTTTTCTCTCTTTCCCTTTACAGCAAACTTCTTGGAAGAGTTGGCTATGCTCACCCCTCCCCCACCCTCCTATATCCTCTCTCTGCCCACTGCTCTCAGGCTGTGCCCAGCACTCCACCAAAGCCCCCTTGCTCAAGTCAATGAATGTGCCCAATTTCAGTCCCCCTCTGGCTGATCTACCCAGTGGATCCCTGATGTTCCTTCCTCACTTGGCTCCTGGCCCCCTCTCTCTCAGGGCTCCCTCCCAGCCCCTCTGCTGTCCTCCAACTCACTCTGCCCCCCATCTCATCCAGCCTCCTGGCTTCAAACCCCACCTGTGTGCCTGTGCCCCCCAAACTCCCTCTCTAGCCCAGTCCTCTCCTCTGACCTCTAGACTTAAATACCTACCTACCTACTTGACATCTAAACTTGAACATCTGATAGGTATCTCAAAGTGAGATCTTCCTTCCAAACAACTGCACTTCCTGTGGTCTTCCTATATCAGCTAATGACTAATCCAGCCTTTCAGCTGCTTAGATAAAAATGTGCCAGCATTACCCTTCACTTCTCTCATTCATTGTCCTACACCTCTTGTCCATCCCAGCTGGAGAATACCACTGGCTCAACCTTCAAAATAAATCCAGAATCCAATGACTTCTCATTGCTGCCACCATCGGGGCCAGGCTGCCCGCACCCTGACCTGCACTGCTGGGTAAGTCTCTCCTAACTGGCCTCCCTTCCTCCTCGCCCTCCTTTGGCCTGTTCTCAACATGGCAGCCAGAGGGATCCCAGTGGGACCTGGGTCAGGCTCTGCCACTTCTCTGTTCCCAAACACAAGGTGCCAATGGCCCCACCATGATGACAAGGCCCCACTCCCTCTCTGGCCACTCTTCCCTCCTCTCCGCCCACTCTACTTAGGGCGCACTGGCCTCCTGCCTCTGCCTATGTTGTCGTTCACCCTTTCATCTCCTTTATCGCAACGTCGCCGAACCCTGCCACTCCAGCTGGCCCTCCCTGCCTCCTCTGTCTCTGCTGCGCCCACCACCATTTTACGTACAGTGGCTTGCTCAGTGTGCTGGTCACCTGCCTCTACTGGCACGTTAGCTTACGAGGGCAGGGGCCTCGTCTGTCCTGCTCCCTGCTGTGTCCCAGCCCCAGGATCCATGGCAGACGGGCTGTGCGAGTGACTGAATGGATGCACAGTCCACTTGGGCAGCACCTGGGCAGGCCGTCAGCAGCAACAGGCTCCCCTGACCATCGGCCTGGCCCTGTCTTCTCGCGGGGAAGGCCGGGCTCTCCCGGCTGGGCAGGCACACTGCCCGCTGCCAGAACACACACACTGAAGGGCTCACTGGCCCGCTATGAAGCAGCAAGATGAGGACCGATCTCTCAGCCTCCTTTTCCAGGGACCCAGGTTCATAACTGCTCTGCCAAGAACGCTTCAGGGCTGACGGAGCCCACCTGCGAGTGCCGGGCTTGCCCAGACACGCCAGGAGTGCTGACTCTGGGGTTTCTGCATTTCCTCTGTACTTCCGGGAGAAAGGAGATGAGCGCATTTCGAGGCAGTTCCTGTTTTAGTGCTCAGGCTCGGTCGGCACACAGGCTGGGAAGGCGGCTCAACCCCGGCCGGGGGGGCGAGTCTGGGTCTCACGCGAGACTCTGCTGAGGGTTCCTGTTCTGAGCAGCAGAGAGGGAGACGGGCGTGTGGCCAGTGCTGCTCCTGGGCGAGCCACTTTGGTGAGGACAAAGCACAGCCTTTGGGGTCAGAACATCCACCTTAGTTTCTCAGCTCTGCTCCCTAACTGGCTGTGTCGTCTTGAGCAAGTCACCTGGCCCCTTTGATACCTAGTTTCTCTTCTTTGTTTTATTTATTTTTATGGGCTTTTATATACTGAGTATACACACATTCAGAAAAGTATGTAAGGCATCAACCTGCAGATGAGCACGTTTACTGTAGAAGGGACACCTATGTAACTACTGCCCAAGTCAAGCTAGAGAACATTCCAGAATGTTCTCTCCCCAACCTCCTCTTAACCTCTTCCCTCCTCCCTACTATCCTGACTTTCAGGGCATTCCTTTCTTTGCTTACCTTTATATTTTTGCTGCCTGTCTATCCATAAATATGGTTTACTTCTACCCTGTATTTCAACTTTATCTAAATAGAATAGCACAGCACGTTTTGGGGCTTGTCTGTTTAGCTTCTTTAGTCCCACACTGTTTTTAAGATCCATGTGTGCTGTGGGTGGAGCTGTAGTTGATCCCTTCTTGTCACAGTTTCCCAGGGCAGGACCGACCTGCAGTCATGCACGCACTGCGCTGTTGCTGGGCACGCGGGTTGGCATCAGGCCATCTCAGTAGGCTTCCGTGAATGCCCGTGTGTCCAAGTCCCCTGGCATACCTGTGCACAGGCTTCTATTTGGGACACGTCTTGTGTGGAGTTGCTGGGACACAGGTGAGCACGGCATCGACCTCAGCAGACAGTGCCACGCAATTCCCCCAGCAATATGTGCACGTGTCTGTCGCTCTTTCTTCATCGTCACTCGAAACCATCTGTCTTTTCACTTAGTCATGCTGGTGGGTGAGCAGAAGTATCGCGTTGTGGTTTAACTAGCCTGATTGCCAACGAGGCTGAGCACTGTTACCTATGTTCACTGGTTCTGAGGGTTTCTTCTTGGGGAAGTTCAAGGCTCTTGCCCAAGGTCTGTTGGCTTCTCTGTCTGTGCAGGAGTTTGGGGAGCAAGTCGTCTGATGGCCGTGCACGCTGCAAACTCTTCCAACGTGCAGCTTGTCTTTTCCTTCTCCTAATCTGCTTTTTAAAGAACAGATGCTCATTTTCTGTCATACCATTTATCGATCTTCTCCTAGTAGCTTAGTGCTTTTTATAACTCATTTACAAAACCCTTCTCTACTCCAACATCATGACGACAATGTTCTCCTTTCTGTGGTGCTGAAGGCGCCACCTGTCATAAATCACAGCCCAGATCCATAGGAGCCTGCTTCTGGGCTCCGTTTTGTTCACACCAAAGGAAGCCCATGGAAGGCAGCAGAAATCCCTGGGTGGGCTCAGGTCTGCCCAGGCCATCAAGTTGGGGCAGAAGGTTAAATGTGCTGGAATCATGAAGGGACAGGGAGGCCACAGCTGACAGCGTGACACCACTTATGAGGTCCAGGAGAACAACTTAACTTTCAACATCATATTGGCTCTTCTACACAAGGGATTTATGGTTCAATGAAAGGTGGTCAGGCAGCCACAGTCCAGGAGGGGAGAGGAAAGCTGGTGAGGTGAGGACTGAAGGAAGGCGCTTGGCCAAAGGGGCTTGCAGACCAGAAGATGGGCTCGGAGCCCCTGAAGGTGAGGGTCTGTCCCTGCCTGGACTGTGTGCCAAACACCGTGGGAAAGAGAGGATGTCCATGGCCGTGTGGTCAGAACCCGGCCAGCCTTCAGGCTCCTGGTGTCCACGCTGCCCACGGACTTGGTGTGTTGGCCCCCCAGCATGGTGATCCCATCATGAAAGCTGTTTTTACGGTGATGTCACAGGGACGCCAGCCTGCGTAGGTAGCAGCTGTGTGGCTGGGAGCCATCTTTCCTTTCTCACACCCCACGTCCAGACCGTGGGCAAAACCTGGCAGCCCCACCCGCCTTCAGGGTTGGGCTCAGAACACTCAACCCTGTTTCTCAGAATGCCGTGCAGCGGACCACTCAGCAGCTGACCACACCTGCTCCACGGGACTGCCACCTGACTGCCCCAGCCTGCTGTGTCCACTCCTGTCCCTATGTGGCCCTCTCCTCGTGTGGTGGCCAGAGGGCCCTTTTCTAAATCTAAGTCGGGTCCTGCGTGTCCCCTACTCAGAGCCCTCCTGATGCCCCACTGCATTTAGAACAAAATCTGAAATCCCTGCCATGGCCCTAAGGTCCAGGCATCCTCCTTCCTGACCTCAGGCCTCCCACTCTCCTGTCTTCATTCCCTCAGACCTACTGGCCTCCTGACATGCCTCTTGTTCCCCTAGCAGGATCCTACCACAGGGCCTTTGCACTTGCTAGTCCCTCTGTCGGGATGCTCTTCCACAGCATGGCCTGGCTGCCCCGGCGAGTTCGGTAAGCCTGCTGGGCCCCTCCACCTAACACCATCCCCCGTCCTCCCAGTGAGCATTACTTTGCTTCATTGAGTTTCTCACCACCACCCTCACGGGACACATGTCCTTGTCTGCCATATCTCTCCCACAGAGAATGGAGGCGGGGGAGGGTAGACATGGCGTGTTTGTTTCCCACTAAATTCCTCATAACTGGAATAGACCCAGTATGTTTTAGGTACCCAATAAGTGTTTTTGAATAAAGGAGGAAGTAAGTAAATGGCAAGCGTTGCTTTCAGACCAAGGGGGGGGTTGGGCCAGCGTAGTGTCCCCGCGTGGCCGCAGCAAGGCTGGCAGAGGGAAGGAAGCAAGACCCAGACGCCTGTCTGACGGGAAGTGTGTGAGCAGACCCCCGCCCAACCAGCAGCCAGCAGGGGTCTGGGCGCAGTGGGGCAAGCTCACGGCAGCCCCAGGACCCCGGCGGGAGGAGGGCATGCTCTGGAACGTCGGCCTGACCTCCCCTGCCAGGGCCTGCTGGGGACACTAGTGGGGTGGGTGACTCTCGAGGGCTGGCAGCAGAAGGGCCAGCTCGCCAGAGACGCGGGACACAGCAGCAAGTCCCAGGCGAGAGGGGCCGTGATTACCTGGAGGCAAGGGTTCTAGAGGGTGGGCGCGCGAGCTACGAGCAGTACCTCCGCCAAGCGGGGCCCAGATGACCCGGCGGATGGCCTGCACCCAGTCCTCCATGTCACGCTGGGAGCTGGCCATGAGCAGGAGCGCCTCCGGGCTGGCCGGCACCTTCTCCTGCTCCCCGGCACCACCTGCAAGACAGGGAGACACAGGCTCACCACAGGGTCCCCGCGCGGCCCTGCAGTGGCTGTCCGCCCTCCCTGCACTCCAGCCCCAGGGGAGGGCTGGTGCTTGCCCCGACCTCCGGCCCGTCCGGCTCACACTCACACAGCTCTTTCCTCCCGAAGCCTCGCTGTGTTACTCCTCCATGTCCAAGTAGATCATTCAAAGCATCTCAGGGAACCATTAGGAAAACAGCATGCGGATCTTAGGCCGCTCAGAGAAGTGCAGTGACCCAGAGTAGCCTCAGCAGTGTGGCTTTCAATCAGCTTTGCCCAGCTCAAGTGCACACCTCAACGTCGCTGTGCCCTTTTGACTTTGGCTCAAAAGCTGCCCCCCAGGGGAGGCCGGTCTCCATGGGTGTTGGTGTCGCCGAGGCTGGAGCACAGCGCCCAGAACTCTCACCTGTCCCTGAGAGGGTAAACGGACGGCCACGGGACACGTCTCACACGGGCTGTGTGGGAGCGGCGCGGCTGGCTGCTCACCAGGTGCAGGTGGGCTGAGTCCGAAAAGAGTCAGCACAGAAGGGGGCTACTGAGGGTTTTTATGGACGGGACAGCGAGCCCCTCCCACCTGCGCTGTTCAGTGCTTCGTTTCTGGGCCCAACTGGCAGGTGAAGAATTATGTCCTGCTATGTGCAGTAGAGATGGTGGGCAGAATAGTTGTTTGTAGCAATTTTTTTTTTAAATAACTAATTCCTACCACCGCTTTGCCCAGTCACATCCATCCTTCTGCTCTGGCGTCATCCTTATCAGGAGAGCTGGGGAGGGACCGCTTGGTCTCCACCAGGGAGGGGGGGAGTGCTGGCTGCCTCTGTCTGCCAGGTCGACAAAGCCCGGACTCCCCAGACCCCTGCGGCTGTTGTACAGCCTCAGTTTTGCATTAGCCACATTCTGTCCTAGACATGCTTTTCGGGTTCCCACCTAGAATAAACCTAACAGTCCCTACTCCTAGCTAGACACCATGTCGACACCCAAAGGCAGGACAGGAAACTCTGACAGCCGCTTAGGGACTGACTTTTCCCCTACGAGAGTTCTAGGGGTCCTCCAGTTTTCACATGTAGGTGAATCAGCCTTTGGGTCATACATAAAATCATTCATACTGGCCGGGCGCGGTGGCTCACGCCTGTAATCCTAGCACTCTGGGAGGCTGAGGCAGCAGGATTGCTTGAGCCCAGGAGTGTGAGGTTGCTGTGAGCTAGGCTGACGCCACGGCACTCACTCTAGCCTGGTCAAGAAAGCGAGACTCTGTCTCAAAAAAAAAAAAAAAAAAATCATTCATACTGAACTTTATGACTAATCTAGGGGACTTTCCAGAACAAGTTCACCCCACGTCCATAAGATATAATTCACTGTTCCTCGCCTAAGGCCCCACAGCCTCAGCCCCGATCCAGGGCCGCCTGCTGGTGGCGTGTGACTCCCAGAGACACGTGTTCCTGGGCGCGGCCAGGTCCGGCGCCTTGCGGAGGCTGCCAGCAGACCGGACGGCCGGACCGTCCTGTGAGTGAGCTGACACCCTCGCCCGCCCTCTGGGGTGCTTTTATCTCCACAAGGACCCTGAGGGAGGTACTGTTACCTCCACATTTCACAGATGAGGAAACTGAGGCACAAAGTGAGTAACTGTCTGAGCTCACAGGGCTGATGAGCGGCAGGGCCAGGGGTTCAGGCTCCAAGCGCGCTGCCAGCCCCCGCCCTCAGCTGACAGCTGGAAGGATGCGGCTGCTCTCAGGCTGGAGCAGGGTAGGGGGCGCGCTCGTCCTCCTCCCGGCCGAGGGTCCCACAGCAAGGCCTGGGCGCTGGGCGCCGACACTCAGGCGGTGGTGAGCTGCCGAGACCCTGCCCCTGCGGCCGCAGCACACAGCGGCACCCCCGCTGCCGCCCAGGAGCGGCTCAGCCTTGGGGCGGTGGCTCTGCATGCCACCTGGGCTGTGACGGCTGGAAGGGGTGAGTGTCCGAGGAGGGGAGGGACGCCAGATGCCACCAGGAAACTTTTCTACATAAGCATTTGTAGAAAAGCATCTCCAGACCACCCAGAAAACAGGCCGCTGCAGATCACAGCTCCAGGAATGTGTTGTGGCTACTCATTTGTCATAAATACTCACTTTCGTACCTAATCTTGAGTTTCTCATTGTTAAGTTCTTTTCCCTAAAGAGCACTACCCGGGTCATATAAGCTTCAGGTCCCACAAAACTCGGATCCCTCCTGCCCAGAGGTTGGCAGGCACGCTCACCCGGCTGTGCCCTGCCCAGGGTTCTGCCCATGTTCTCTGAACCTGTGTGTTCAACTTCTTAGGTGTTTCTCTACATGTGTACGTTTGCTCACGCATATTTGCATATACGCATCGCTTTTTAGGAGACAGCCACACACTGTTTCCCAAAGCCACTGCACACGTGGCGCCCGGCAGCAGCCCGCCCCCCGGCCGCCTGCCGCTTTCAGCCTTTCTCACAGGCGTGTGGGGCGTGACTCTGGGCTTAAATTTGCAATCCCCAAAGCCTGGTGATGCTGGGCCTCTTTTAACATACTTGGCTGCCATCTGTGTGCCTTCTCTGGTGGAAGGTTTTCAAGCCATTTGTCCATTCTTAAATGCGCTGCTTATTTGCCATTAGTAAGCTCTGAGAGTTCTTGACATATTCCAGATACAAGGCCCTTAACAGATATATGCTTGGAAATATTCCTCCCAGTCCATGTCTTTTTTTTTTTTTTTCATTCTATTAACAGTGTGTTCCCAAGAGCAGAAGTGTTTAATTTTGGAAGTCCATTTCATCAATTTTGTCTTGTTGAGTGTATTGGTGTTATAACTAAGAAATCTTTAAGAAATCTAAGAAATCTCTACTTAAAATGAGGCTCCTATCTCCTTGTTTGCATTGTCTCTCACGAGAAATTTGCTGTCATACTTGTTTTTGTATATAAGGTGTCTTTTTGCTGTTTCAGTGGTTTGGGATAATTTGGTTATGATGTGCCTCAGTGTGGTTTTCTTCATATTTTCTGTACTTGGAATTCACTGAACTTCTTAGATTTGGGAGTCTACAGTTTTCATAAAATTTGGAATATTTTGGCCATTAGTACTTCAAATATGTTTTTCTATCCCACCTCCTGCCCTCCTCTGAGACTCCAATTACAGGTATATTGGGCCACTTGAAGTTACCCCACTGGTGCTCAGTTTATGTTTGTTAAATTCCTTTTTCTCTGTGTTTTACTTTTGCATAGTGTGGTAGCAGAATAATAGCCCCCAAAGACACTCCCATCCTGGTCCCTGGACCCTGTGAATAGGTTAGGTCACACAGCAAAGGACAATTAAGGTTGCTAACCAGCTAGCTTTGAAATAGGAAGATTGTCCTCGACTGTCCAGGTGGGCCCAGTGTAATCATGAGGGTCCTGAAAAGTGGAGGAGGAGGTAGAAGAGAGTCAGAGAAAGATGTAACTGCAGAAGGAGGGAGTGATACAAGGTGAGAAGGACTTGATCTGTCATTTTCAGTCTTAAAGACAGAGAAAGGGGTCCTGGAGCTGAGGAATGCAGGCAGCCTGTACAGGCTGGCCAGTTCAAGAACATGGATTGTCTCCTAGAGCCTCCAGAAAGGAACACAGCCCTGCAGACACCCTGAATTGTACCCAGTGAGACCTGTGTCAGACTTTCTGACCTACAGAATAACACATCTGTGTTGTTTAAGCCACTACATTTGTAGTAATGTGTCATAGCATCTACAGAAAACTAATACAGATTGTTTCTATTCTGTCTTCAAATTTGCTAATCTTTTCAATGTAAGATACTGGGCTATAAGGACAATGGACACCTTCCAGCTTCTGTTTACTGCTTGTTTGCTAACCGCAAGGCACTATGAGTACATTATGGGATGCAGAGGAGAAAGACAAAGAACGCAGAAACCTGAGTCTCTCAGCTAGGACCCGGAAGAGATTACAGCCTATCAGGGGCAGGATGAAGTAAGAATCACTGTGGGGGCGGATGCATGATCAGCGTGTAAACAACTTAGCTATAAAAGGGCACTAGCACACAAAGGAGGGTCCCTGCCCGAAGAAGAGGCCACTGAGCTGGCACTCTGGGGGCTCAGACCCTAGCTCGAGCTAGACAATAAAACTCCTTTTGATAATTACAGCCTCGGTGACTCTGTCTCTCTGTCCTGCGGCCCTGCAAATCTCGAATATAACATCATCTTTCTATCTAATCTAACACTAATGCTATTCTGTGTATTTTTTATCTCATACATTGTAGGTTTGATCTCTAGAAGTTGAATTTAGATCTTTTTCTAAAAAACATCTTTCATGTATCTACTTAACTTTTTGACCATATTGAATACAGTTATAAAAACTGTTTTAATATCTTTGCTAATTCTAAAATTTGTGTCATTTCTAGGTTGGTTTCAATTGATTGCTTATTCTCATTCTGAGTCATATTTTTCTGCTTCTTTGCATTCCTGATATTTTTGATTAGGTGCCAGACATTGTGATTATAAAATGGTTGGATGCTGGATATTTCTGTACTCCTATAAATATTCTTGAGTCTTCTTCTGGGATGAATTTAGGTTCTTGGAAAGAATTTGGTCAGCCTTTGTTGCCTCTGTCTGCAACAGGAGTTTGCAGGGTTTTGCCCTGAAGAAATATGTGAACTCATTAGTTCACCACCAAGGGCTGCCTTGCCTTGGGGGGCTCTCAAAGCTCCAGTATGGGTGTTCTCCAGGAGGCTTCCCCATTATCTCAGATCTGTGAGATCTTCCTATTCTTGAAAGACAAGACAGGTAAATATCTGGCTCACAGGATGGGAGCCGGAGACAGTGAGTGCCCTAGGCAAAAGACGAGCCTCTGTGGATATAAACAATTTATTTTGTAAAAATGGGCTTCCTGCTGTCTCCTGACTGTCTGCCTTAAGTCTATAATAACTATATCAAAAAATACAGAGCCACATACCTCTTTGTTATTCCGCTGTTAATTGATAACTATCTCTTAGAACTTAAATTAGTCCTTAAAAGACTTTATAACTGTTTGTTCATCTAGATAGATTAAAAATTGTTAAAAGCCCTTTAAAAAAGACCTTTAACCCTAACCAAAACTACCTGTTACCCATAGCAACCAAAGTTATCTGATAGGTAAATCTGTTACCCTGGCAACTAATAATTAATATCTATGATTTTAAAAACCTACGTGAATCTAACCTTAATGCTGCATTACTCACAGAGATGTGGTGCAGACTCCTGAGTACCCCTGCTTTATCTGATTTATTCATATAAAACTATACCTTACTTAGTCTCTATGTATTCTTTTATTCTCTCATTTCCTAGCAATTTCTTATTCTCCATGGCGACACTATCTAAGGGACCTGGTTTTGCCGGGAGAAGCAGCTGATCTCGTGACCTGCCAGCCCGCAGTGAGTATTCAAAGTGTGCTGCCCTGCTTTGGTCTCCTCCGACTCTCAGCTCTGGCTCTTTAACTCATGGGGTGCAGCGGGCTCCACCTGGGCTTCCCCTTCCTGCATCACAGCCTGGAAACTCTCTCGAGGCAGTCAGCTGGGGCGTGTGCAGGGCTTACCTCGTTTGTTTCCCGGCTCTTGGGGAGTCACAGTCCTTCACTGTCTCATGTCCAGTATCTTGCAAGCATTGTTTCATATATTTTGTCCTTTTTTTCCCCTTTGGTTTTTTTGGTGGGAGGGATTTATTGGTGGGAGGGTAAACAGGTCCCTGTCCTTCATCTGGTCCAGAAGTAGAAGGCCTACTACCACGTCCCAGGGCCTCGCATGCATAACACACTGTGCAAGGCACTCACCACGCACAGTCACAGGCAGCCCTCGCAGACAGCCTAGGAAGGAGTGTGGCTGACCCCGTCTTACAGAGGAAGACATTGGAGTTCAGAAAAGTTAAACATTTAGCTCATGAACAAACAAGTCGAGGGGCCAGGATCCAAACCCAGGTGCGTTTCACTCATGAACTCATGCTCTTTTCTCAATATGGAATCTCCTGTATGCCAACGGAGGGGGTGTACGGAAGATGAAATGCATTACTTCAGCAAACTTTGGGATGTTCTACAGCATTCAACTGTCTATGCTTACTTAGAAAACATTAGTATTAACTTTAAAGAAAACAAATTATGCCAGCTAATATTTCAGAAAGAATTTTGTAATGAAAATCAAGGGTCTGTTATCACTGTTCCTAGTTTTCCCTTTTCTTTCCCACCCATCCGTGTGCACCGTGTTTCCGCGCCCCTGGCATGTCACAGGCACCTGAGGCCGTCTGGGCAGCGCTTAAAGCCCAACCTCTAAGGGTCAACCCTCGCTCCTCCACTGGAACTTCCCCTGGTGTCAGAGCCAGGCACCTGTAAGGTGAAGAGAGTGAGTACCTACCTTCTTGGGAGAAAGAAATGGGACAGTCCCTTAGCTTAGCACCTGGGAGCTCGCACACACTCCCTAAATGCTTGCTTTGATTTTCATATTCAATTAAACACAACACAGAGCAGGTTTTCCCAGCCTCAGCCCTGCTGACCTGTTGGGGCAGGCAATCATGAGGTGTGGGGGACTGTCCCGTGCACAGGACATTTAGCAGCGTCCCTGGCCTCTACCCACTGCATGCCAGTAGCAGCCTCTCCCTCTGTCCCAAGTTGTGACAACCAAAAATGCACCATCATTCATTTTAAAGGGAAGGAAACTATAGCCCAGAAATGTTTGGAAATACATCCCGGCTATAACTGAACTGTGTATGTAGGTACCAGTGAACTCGGACCCAGGCTCCCATCCCAACCCCACTGTGCTCACGACTTCAGCCTCTGGCTGTTCAAGGGCACCAGCCCCAGGTGTCAGCTCTTCTTGTACCAGCCAGGCTTTCTCCCCTCCAAGTTCCTGAACTTAAGAACTTCCTCGAGAGTCCCTCTTTGCACCCAAGCAAAGGGCTTCAGGGGAAGGGGGTGGCTCCACAATGCAGCAGATCCTGGCAGGGCTTCTAGGACAAGAACTGGCTTTCAGCATTTCCATGTGAACATTTTCATTATAAAAAGCAAATGATATGCATGGAAGCATTTTGCAAGCCACTGTAACCCATAGGGCTCAGTCCATGATGTTCAGGTAAAAAAGCTGTCACTCTAATTAATCAAATTATACAGTGGCTTTGCACTTCTCTACCAGGGCTTATGAAAAATATTTTTTTAAAAAAACAGTCACTTCCTGCTGACAGGTGCAAAAAAGAAAAACAAAAACAAAAAAATAACAGAAAAAAGTGGCAGCAGCAATGTATGGTTGTCACAGGGCCCACTGTCATTCTACTGACTGCCGGGGCAGCAGGACCCCCGCACAGGGCCCACAGCTGACCCCCAGCAGTGAAGACCAGCTGTCCAGATACAGCTGTCTAGAGCAACATAGTACAATGGAGATATAATGTGAGCTACATGTGCAGTTTTAAATGTTTAATATAGCTACATTAAAAAAGTAAAAAGGGGCTGGGCATGGTGGCTCACACCTATAATCCTAGCAATCTGGGAGGCTGAGGCAGGAGGATCGCTTGAGGCAAAGAGTTAGAGACCAGCCTGACCAAGAACCTGTCTCTACAAAACTTTAAAAAACAGCCAGGCATGCTGGTGCACATCTATAGTCCCAGCTACTCGGGAGGCTGAGGCAGGAGGATAGCTTGAGCCCAGAAGTCTGAGGTTGCTGTGAGCTAGGCTGATGCCATAGCACTCTAGCCCAGGCAACAAAGCGAGACTCTTGTCTCAAAAAAAAAAAAAAAAAAAAAGAAAAAGAAAAAAGAAAAGAAAAGTAAAAAGGAACAGGTTTATTTATTTTTAATGATATATTTTATTTATTCCAATATATCCAAAATAGTATTATTAATTTCAACATGTAATCAATTAAAAATTGAGTTTTTTCCACACATATTTGCACCAAGTCTTTAAAATATGGTGTGTATTTAGCACTAATAGTACATCTGGATTTGCACTTGTCACATTTCATGTACTCAGTGGCCAGAGTAAGGGTCAGTATAAACTAGAGCTGGTGGTGATGGTGTGTGTTGGCTTTGGGGGGTGCACCAGGAGACGGTGTGTGTTGGAGGACCACCTAGCACCCTCAGACATCCTGAGATCTGCCTATGCCTGTGGTGCCAGCCCTGGGCAATGAGCCAGCTGGAGTTCCCTGCACAGATGCCCCAAGGGCAGCCTCCCCATGACAGCCCCACCGGCCAGGGGCACCTGCCCTGCTCCCTCTCCCTCCATCCACTTCTCTTTACCCTACTCCCCACTCTCCCTTCTGAAGGTAATCGCCCTCCCCAGTCTCCTGGCCTGGCTCCCGCAGCCTGCTGCTCACCCTGGCTGCCCACTTACCCTAGACAGATGCCTGCTCCTCTTCAGGTGCCTGGCAGGCCACAAGGGCATGGTGCAGGGTCCCAGGGCTTCGGTGGGAGGAGAGGCCCCGATGGCCACCAGGTGCATGGGCACTCTGGGGCACTTGCCTGCAGCATGGCTGGCACAGTCTGCCCATGCCCTCTGCCCTTGGGTGCTGGGCTGGGGCCTTTTGTCTCTCCTGGGGAACTTCTGCACTTCTCAGGGAAGTAAAGTTGGGACTGTCCGGGGTGGGGCTGAGACCCCTGTGGGCGGGAGGTCTACCTGCTTGTCCTGCAGTGTGGGTGCCTGCCAAAGGCTCCTTCCTGATTCTCCACCCCAAGCGTGGTAAGTGCCCAGCGCTGGGCCTGACTGCCTTGGGGGGTCCATCCTGTTCCTCCAGCACTCGGGAACCCCAGCCCCACCAGCTTTGTGCATCAGGGCCCTCCTCTCGGGGTGGAGGTGCACAGCCCACCTCACCAGGTTGGTGGAGGGCAGCTGCTTCATGAACACCTGGGAGAAGCCTGATAAATATCAGTGCTGGGTGGCCATGTGGTCTTGAGCTAGTTACTTGATCCTGTTTCCATTTCTTCATCAGCAAAATAAGGCCACTAACCGGACCCACCTCCTGGGGTTCTGGGGATGACTGACTGGGACAAAGAAGCCAGGTGCTGGGCAGGACGGCACCTGCACGTGGTGTCTGGTGTGTGCCCTCATACCTCTGAGGCAGGGACTGCGGGTCTGCGTCACAGGCAGGAAAGCTGACGCTCCAGGAGCGTCTGATGGCTCAGGGTCACCACTGGGAAGTGGCTCAGGCAGGATCTGAACTCAGCTGCTGCAGACTCTTTCTGTGCAGTAAGCTGCCAGCCTATGGGGCCTGCGCACGCCAGGCGGCGGGACTGGGCGCCAGGAGCGGCACCGCAGGGCCGCCGGGAGGCTGGGGCCGCCGTGCCAGCGTGGCCGGCGAGTGCGGAGCACGGGCTGCGCTCTTCCTGTCAACGCCGCCCGCCCGTTACTCGCCGCCTCCTCCGCCAGCCCACCCGCCCCTCCAACAAGGAAAACGCTCTTCAGGAGGCCGACTGGTCTTGGAACGAACCCGACGCCGGCGCGGCCTTGGGCCTCCAGCGCCGCCGGCCTCCCGGGCCCACTCTGCCCTCCGCGCAGCCCCGCCACGGCCTCGCGGCTCGGCCGAGGGCTGCCCCCAGCTCTGCCCCGGCGCCCGTCAGAGGCCTGCCTGGTGGGGGTGCTGTCGAGGAGCCGCCTCCCGCCCGGGGCCTCCAGTCTGTCTCCACAGAACTTTCCGGAAGGGAAAGCAGCCACGTGCCTGGACACATGCCGACGCAACGTCTCTGCCACGCGAATGCGCGGCGCGGCCAGCAGACCTGCGCCCGTGTCCCCACGGCCCAGCCCGGTGCCTGGAAAGGGAGCGGCGCAGGGAACGCGGCGGGCACCGCGGACACACGCGGGGCGCTGGGGAAGCGACAGGTGGACGTTCTCCGTCGTCCCCTTTGCCTGAGCGCTGGGCACCGCTCCGAGAGCGTTGTGTGCTGTAGCGCAGCACCCTCGCCGCAGCCCTCCGTGGCGGAGCGACAGGACACCCACTTCCGCATGAGAAAACAGGCTGAAGCAGGAGAATGAATTGTCCGCGGTCACATGACCAGTAAGATGGAGCCTGCCCCGGGCAGCCGGGGAGACGCCCTTGCCGACCGGCCTCCCCAGGCGCTCCCGCCGGAGGCTGGGCTCTGCCCTGGGCGAGTCTGGCTGCAGAGCTGGCCCCCGGCCGCCCCGCCAGCCTGCGGGGTGCGCCCGCCCCCTGGGACGCGCCCGCCCCCTGGGACGCGCCCGCCGTGCGATCGCCCCTCGCGGGCGTGGCTGGGCCTGGCAACTTGCTTTTAATGAATGGAACGTGGCAAGGAGTGGCAGATGTCCCTTCTGAGATCAGGTCACAACGACACTGTGGCGTCCATCTTACACTCTCCTGTTCCCTCAATTCCTGGCTCTGACAGCGGCGGGCTGCACACCTGCCCTGAGGGGCTCACACAGTAAGAAATGAGAGAAGCTTCCCACCAACAGCTGGGCCACCGAGGAGCTGCATTCCACAGCCCTCAAGGAACCGCCCCTTCCCAGCAGCCCTGCGACTGAGCTTGACCTGATCTCCATCAGCCGAGCCTTGGGATGAGACCACAGCTGCAGCCAACACCTGCATCAGCCCGACAGAGACTCTGGTCCAGAGGGTCCAGCTGAGCCAAAGAACTGAGATGACAAATGTTGGTGTTTTAAGAGACTAAGTTTGGGGTAATTTGTTACACAGCAAGAGTTGATGAATACAATCCCCACCTTGTCGCAGTACAGTCTGGAGCACACCTCCCCTGTGGTCTGCTGCCTCAGGGGTCCTGGGCAGTGGGATCCGGCAGTGAACATCCTCTCATCTCTCCCCGTAGTAACAACGAGGAGGTGACAATGGCAGTAAATAACAGCTGCAGCCGCCGCCTACCATGCACAGGCTCTGTGCCAGGTAGTTACATACACCATGGCATTTTATCTTCTCCGTAACCATTCAGTGAGGTGTTACAACCTCATTATGCAGGTAAAGAAACTGGGCTCAGAGAGATGGCCTACCTTGCCCACAGTGACACAGCTAAGACTGGAAAGGCCAAAATTCCCAGGCCAGAGCTGCTGCCTCCAGGGCCTCCTGTTCCAGTCACTCTTGCAACCTTAGCTGCTGGAACCTGAGCTCCTTCCCCATGGTCTTACCTGCCGCCTGCCCCCAGGTGCCTGCTGAACTCTCACCTGGTGCTGGCCAGAATCTTTGCAAGAAACCAGTAACACCAGACAAGGAAATCTGTTCCAAGAGTTATGGGTTGGTACTGTATGGATTCTCCCTCCTAGCTCACTGCAACGAAGGTAGGGCAGGCTCCCACCTGCATCCTGCCCTAAGGGGCTCACATCTCTGGTGGGTGTGTGTGCAGTGCACCTGTGGGCACTGAGGGGTCAGATCAAGGTGGCTCACCTACCGCTGGACTGACAGCCACTTACACTCAGCTTTCCCCAGACCCCAATTCAGAGCGAGCTGCCTGCACCTGACTACCAGAGGCTGTGTGCAGGGGCCAGGGCAGAGGCTCCCACGCCAGCCGACCTCCTGGGGTGCTGACCACCTTTCACCCACCCTTGGGGGTGACCGTGGGGCCTGGATAATAAGCTGCCTCTACACACAGGGCTGGGCCTCCCATGTAGAAGTTACCAAAAAGGCAGGACGTGCTTGCTCAGCTGCAGAAGTGAGGCAGCTTCTGGAGGGCAGCGGGACTGGCCTTGTCTCCCCTGTGCAGCCTCGGGCTCCCCGGCCACAGCCCACCTCCTCAGGACGATCGACAGAAGATGGGGTTCCTTGGGGGCAACTGGGCTTCCTGCCTCCCTTCCTGGCAGCCCTCAGCCAGGGATGACAGGAGGCTGACAGCTCATCTCTGGGTTTCCAGAAAGCCTTGTATTGCCACAAATGCAGAGAGGAAAGGAAGGCAGAGGGGAGAGAGGAGGTGCTGGGGCAGTGCCGGGCTGGGACTGTGGGCCAACCACGTGTCAGATGTGAGGCCAGGTGTCAGGCCGTCTGAGGCCTCTGTGTGTGTGGCAACAGGGTCTGACTGGCAGGGAGGGAGGGAGTCCCTCTAGAAAAACAGACCCGAAGGAAGAGGCAGAGAAGTGCCAGGGCACAGGACGAAGCAAGGAGCCCAAGTCCCCTGAGCCACTGTGGCTCACTCGCAGGAGCTGCAGGCTGGGGACAGGGCGGGGTGCGCAGTGAGCGCCCTCCCCACTCTGCTCTGTCCCCCAGGGCAGCGCTGGGCCCTGGCCCTGTCCTGTCTGGCGCTGAGCCGAGGCGTGGCCCTCCCGGGAGGCAGACCATCAGCAGCACACGCGTCGGGCTGAGTGGAGCGGGAGCTTCCTGCTCACCTGGGGCCCTGCTTCCCTCTGTGCCCAGCGTGTGGTAGGCACTGCAAAGAAAGAGGGGACAGCCCGCTTCCATAAAGCCACAGGCAGCTTCCATCTGACCTGAAATCAGGAGCCCCTGGCTTTGTTTTCTGAGGACGGGCTGCCGCCACGGAAGGAGAAGGCAGCCGCGGGCGGCCTGCAGGGCCCCGC